AAGACTCCCCATTAGGTGATAATTCTGGCCATGAAGTTTAAAAACTGGAGGAGACCTTCCTTTGTTGACATCTTGCGCAACCTTACCGCCCATTGAGGTGAATGAAAACATACTGTTGTATGATCTAACGTTTTCAATGAAATGTTTGCTACGCTCATCCAAACCATGGATCAAATCAAATAGGAACGATGGCGGTTCTTTCATAAAAGGCAACACCACCTTGCCTTGACAACAACACAAAGAATACTTTGGATCATCCTTAGAAGACGTGGAAACAACACGTTCCTCAAACCAAAAATGGGCTTTGCAAAATGAGCACTCATATCGTGCATCTTCGATGTCCCAGTACTCTACAATTCAAAAGCACACAATAGAAATATGTAATCTAATCATAAACATTAAAAAATAGACAATTGTTCAGTCAAGTAATGTGAACTACTATCGAGAAAGACGCACCGACTGCTCTATTATGGTTGTGTGCAGGAAAGGTCTCATAATCAACATACTCATCATCCGCATCACTATCATTAATATAAGCCATATCCTCCACATCAACAAACGTTGAAGCCATAGGTACTATAATCCCGGAATCATTGGGAATATATTTATCGCCGCCTGTTGTCACAATATTTAACTTTATCTTATGAAAAATATTTATGTAATACATCAATACTGCATAGAAAAGGCACAAAAGAGTGTATACTGCATCATTAACAACGTTACCACTGCCAATAACAGTAAAAGGAGTGATCCGTTGTCCTGAACCGTTGTCGCTTTGCACAATACTTGCAGTTGAGCACTTAACAACACCGTGAGGTTGATTTGGACAATGGGGAACAACATCATCTTCAAAAGCATATACACAATTTTCAAAACTCACAACCAAGAGCAACAAAAAAATTAAAACCATTTGTCAAATTATCTATTGTTTAATAATAATATCTATTTCCAATCATAGAGAGATTTGACGATGTTTAAATTGTGTTCAACCTATAAAAATCATTTCTTTAAAATTTAAAATTTATAAATAAAATTATTTAATTCCGAGATTCAATAATGATCTAGAAATTAGTACCACATAGAAGGATTTATATAAATAAAAATAGACTTTTTTATGACACAACAATTAATAATAATTGTTTTTAATTCGGAATTTGAATAAATAAAAATCATTGGGTTAGGTTACCCAAAATATATGATATTCAATGGCAATCAGGGTGACCAACCTTACAAAAACTATATCACACGATCCATACATATCAATGGCAATACTTAATAAAAAAGCTCCCACACAAATGAATATATCCACCATTTTTTTTTCTCATATTCATAAAAACACTGCAAATACACAACTCCACTTTACCAAAAATAAGTATATTACTTCGTATATGGTAAACGAAGTTATATTTGTAAATACAATTATTTATTCTAGTGCAGAGCAATTAGAAGCAAACACAAAATTATTTTCGAGACATTGAAATAGAAATTGTCATAAAATAGTTTACAAAATTCATATTAATATAATTACCAAAATTAACACATAATTAACATAAAGCAATCCACAAATTTATTTTATATTTGTTCTCAAATACATCAAAACATTAAAAATAAGTTAATCTCGTACTAAGATAAAAAGTCCGTTTGATACATTTTTTGCAAATTTTGGAAAAATAAACATGAGGCTGCCAAACCATAGGTTGGATGCTGAGATCTGGATAAAAAGCCCAACGAATTCAGACTGACCGGCCCAGCAGACGTAATATTGTTGACCCATTAACCCAAAGAATAAAAACATGCCACACACACACTCCGTACCCAAACCCTCCTCATTTTACGCCGACCCCCTGACCCTGTAATCATCTCTCTAACGAACGACTTTCTTCCCCAGAAATAAACCCTTCGCATGCCCCTTTTAGATCTACGATTAAAACAACCGGGGACCAAAACAACCATGAACGGTCCACGGTTCATCCCCACGCTCCACCCCGGTAGTCACCTCCACACACAGATAGATGGCCGATGCCATATGCAGACATCCTTCCACCATCCCCAACCACGACGCGGTGGAAAAGCAAAAGCCGAAGATCCAAGATGACTCCACCCTCACAGGTAACATACTTCACCGCCCACCAGACCAAAACACTAAACACCAAAGCCACACACGACACGAACGAAAGCAACGCGGCCTTTAACGAAAACTTTTGAACGGGCAAACACAGCACAAACCACACACATCCTTATTTAAACGATAGATCTGTTCAACACTCCTTGTTTCATCACAGTCTGGACACTTGTTTTCTTTCATATCAAACCGTTTTCTTACCGTTTCCACCGGCAGGCATGATACACGTATTTTTTTAGCAAAACCTGGAAATATGCCACCTCTAAACAAAATAAATTACTAAATGACAAAGATCTGGCGAATACAATGTTAGCTACAAATGTATTTTTATTTTTCTCGTAATTTTTATATTTTATTTCTTAACCCAATAATTTTTTTAATTTTCCGTAACTAAAAAAATCACAGGCAACATTATTTTCACTATAACATTAAAAAAAACATATCCGTTTAAAAAATTTTCGGGAAAATTAATTTTATAAAAAAACACTTTAGCTTCTCTTTCACAATTAGGTTACGCATCTATTTTTTTATTTTTACAGAAAAAATTGCGAATGAATGGTTCTTTAATGTTGTTAATTACCTACGATACATTGTGTGTGAGTATAGCAACAGTTTCATAACATCTTTGAAACGGGTTTTTTATTTTGATTTAACACGACTTTCATAAAATAAATTTTATAAAATACAAACGGTTGAGGAAATTTTAATTTCATTTTAATCTACTTTTTTTGAAGAATATAGATGGGAGTAATAGTATTTCCAGCCTTTGATTTTAACTGTTAAGAATATAGGCATAATATTTGTAGTAAAAAATTAAACTCTTGAAGAAGAATCTAAACAGCCATACCGACAACTCACTGTGCACACACAGGGTAATAATGCAGGTGGTCCCAACCACCTTGAGTTTTTTTTTAAATAAAACTACACATCACCCAACAACCCAATTAATGTGCACCACCAACCACACAATTAATATTCGCCCACCACCCAATTAATATTCTCCCACCTACCACATTAATATCTTCAAATAAAAAACCTACTCAGCCCTATTCTGAATTTGAAAAAACCTACCCACCTTCCTCATTAATACCGAACCCCCTTGCACTATTATTATGGAGCCATCCACCACATAAATTTTTTAAAACAAACAGAGTACACATCACACTTCCGATTTAAAAGTACCAACCCCAAACCATTTTCAATTTTATTAACAGACAACAACCCTTTTTCTGAAAGTAATACACAGCCTGTTAAACACTTGAAGACCTACGTGCATATTTGATACCCCAGCTTTTACCTTTGCTTCCATTTCAAACCCTTACGTACAATCTTAAAAGCCAACCTTAACTTCTCTTTTATTACCCTTTTCCTTCAATTTTTAATAAACAGGGATTTTCCCTTCATTTTTACACCATCTACCACAACACTATTTAGTATGCTTGCCACCCACCACATTAAATGTTAAAAAATAAATACCACACATGGCAGGGTTGTGATTTTTAAAACACCAACCCTCAACCATTATTAATTTACAAACACACAACAACTGTTTTGTTTTAAACAATACGAACACACTCACAAATCCAAAATGTGAGTGTGTTACATCATCCGCCACCCACACACACACATTAAAGCCACCCACACACATTAAAGCCACCAGGAAAACAACCAAACCGAGCCAGAAGTGAAAATCAGAGAATCAAGAAATGTTGCATGGAAGCCTACACACATCCAACATTGTGAAATCCAGGAGAAATGTTCGAGTTGACTAAGTTGCCGTCCACAGGGTATGTAAAATAGTTACTGTTTTGACATAACTTGAGTTCATAATTTATATCTAATCTTTTGATTATTTGCTAACATGCTCCATTAATTTCATTAAATGCTACTGGAGCAAAACTTGGCATTCCCAATAGCAAGGCCGCAACATTATTGTCCAGTCCAGATGAAGGACTACAAAATGTCAGGTCACAGAGCACCCTTAATTAATGAAGATATGATTAAGGACACTCTAGTTTTAAGAAACATCCGTTGATTTTTTTAATCTGTAACAGGTAGGATCAATGAATTGAGAACAGCAAGCTTCATAGAGTCAAAAGGATGTCCAAAGCCAATTGTAATCTTGGGAGGTAAGCATTTTAACTAATTCATTTCTAATAATCACTACATGTAACCTATGCCTTTGGTAACAACCTCCAATGTCATCTACACCCTCAATACGTTATAACCTATGCATTTTATACATTTCATTACAGCTAATAAAATTTTTAAATGAAAATTTATTCATGCAGCATTATTGAAGGAAAAAAGGATGACAAAGACGCTGCTTTCCCGTACAACAGAGCTTGTAAAATATGTAAGCCTAACTTAGCTGTAATCATTCACTATGCAACGCATTAAATAGTTGATAAACAAACTTTTTGGCACACACACTAACTTAAGAAGTTTTTTTTCAACAACCTTTTGTAAAATAATGTATTTTCTAACCGTAACAGACACAGTTTTCTGTTGAAACACACATTTCGTAATTGAACACCAAACATCACAATTTCAACTGAATTAAATTTCCATGTAAGCATGACATACGTAGATACCTGAATGTGGTCGCTTCCGACCGATTATGACCGACTTGGTTAGCTTAGGCATCAACAATTACCACAGGAGAAAATTAGCCACTCCCGGCTGGACACACAATTTTCCCAGCTAAAATCTAGGGACGAAAAAAGGGCTATCAAATTGTACAGTCGTATAATAATAGTGTCTAAATATGTTATTCCACACAAAGAATTAACCCTAGGCACACATCAAATATAAACAGTTTAATAGGATAAAAGTTATCAATAAAATATTCAAGACATTCATACTATTAAACACGGGTGGGCAAAACACACATTAATAGTACATCACGCTAGGTAAGGACAACAGAGACATGAACAGCTCATCCAACACAATGCCAAAATACTTAAATTACATTAGGTCATAACTATGAAGCTAGCCAACCAAATTCAAAGTCCACAACAAATTGCCCGTTGAAGTAACGCCTGTTGAGACAGATTCTGCGCGTCGAACGCCTCAAGGCAACGCCGTCACTGACAATAGCGGGAGGCGTCCCCGGGACTGCGCCTGAAGACTGACCAACAGTTTCAAAGAACCACCCGAGATCAGGATCCTCATAATCAGGTGACAGAACTGCCGGGGAAGGCAGTGTGGGGGTCAGGGGTGCTTCATCATTCGGCAAATTTAGATCAAACATAGCCCAACGCCTCAAGACAACGTCGTCACTGACAACAGCGGGGGGCGTCCCCATGGCTGCGCCCGAAGACTCACCAACGGTTTCAAAGAACCACCCGAGAACAGGATCCTCATAATCACGTGACAGAACTGCCTGGGAAGGCAGTGTGGGGGTCGGCGGGGCTTCATCAATCAGTAAATCTAGGTCAAACATAGCATAACACCGAACACAGATCTCCCGATTGACACAAACAACTGCTCTCAACAGATTTTCGGGGACCATATAAAAACAGTTTTCACACTGCCTTATAAATCCACCAGCCACCATACCAACACCCCAATCAAGTAAGCCTGCCTCAAAAGCCATTCCTGAATATTTTACGCAAAAATGAAAACGACACAGGAAACCATTGAACCCTACATGAAAGTAAAAATTAAACTTTCACTGTGATATATTCTAAATAGATTCATCTCGTTAGGTATTTGGAAGTGTTACATCCTCCGTTACAAAACATTTTTTCCTATTCAACCTCCAGCATTCTATTCATCTCTTCTAGGTTCATAAATTTGTCCATTGCTAAAGCCCTCCTCATGAATGAGTGCCACACTCCAGATTTTATGACATAGATGAAAGAAATCAAAGTGACGTTTAAGGCAGCTTTCAAACATAAAGTAAGAAATGAGTAAAAATAATTATATCCACAACTATAATGTCATAGCACTGACAAAAAAAACTCTTGAGAATGAAAAAGCCATTTTGTTCTTAATACAGAAACTCAAACCTCAAACCCTATGATTAAGTTTGCAAACTGATGGAACTTTAACTTCACTATTTTGGAGGGGGATAGCAAAGAACTACCATGTACTATCTTCACTGACCTCAAAAACCTTAGATTAAGTGTTGACAAAGATGAGGGAGAGCTGGAGGAGTAGAAAGCTCAAGGAATAGGTAGATTTTTGGGTTTCGGTTGAATTATCACTAACACATTGCAAAGTATGAATATATATTACACTGCTAAGGCCAATAAAATCGGATATGAAATCCCTAGTAGATCATACAATATCTCTAATGCCTGACAAAACCAATTGGTTGGGCAAATAATAGTAAAAACTAATGATTACATCCACTCACCTCATTACACATACACTAAAACACTGTTCTTGGATCCAAAGTAACCAATGGTTAGCTCCGAAATGTTTCACAGCCAGCTATTAATTTTTTTTTATTCACAATGATGATGTGCCAAATTTTATACCGCACAATTAACCTGACAGAATGATGATTTACACATCTAGCCCATGCCTTTTTTACTGTTTGTGTAAAATATCTCTGAAACAAAGCTGTGAACTCAAAAGGATTAAAGGTCTGTTTGCAACTGCTTTTAAAAAAGCACTTCCCAACTGTTGGCTTTAAAAAACACTTATTTTCCCAAACACTACAACTTTGATTTTTCTCGGCTTCCGCGTCAAAAGTGCTTTTGCTTTTTCTATTACACAAAAAACACTTATTTTACCAAACACTACCCACTTTTACTTTTCAAAATCATTTTTTTCCCAAACACTATGAATTTTTATTTAATCACTTCTCCCCATTTCATTAAAAACAACACTTTTTTAAAAGCATAAACTGTTGCAAATAAACCCTAATTTTTTTGAAGTTCACTCTTAAAAAACCCCATAAAGCGATAATCTATCATTTTCAGACTGAAATTTATCAATTTCAGATTATTTAGGTTGAAAATTTCACAAATTTCTAAATTGATCTATGATAGAATTTAGGCAGAATTTATTTTGAGTATCACGTATAAAATTTTTTAACCACACTTTAAAAAAATACGTAGATTTTAAAAATATGACACCTGCACCCATTTTTCCTCAGACATTACTTCAAATGAAATACAACATTTTTTCTTCCAAGTGCATGTTTATAGATATATGTCATGCAATACTATTTCAAATTTCAAACAAAGGAGTATTCTGGAGGTTTAAAAATCAAAGCATACCTATCAGTCTGAAATTTTAAAACAATCATGGGTGACCTATGGGGAGTTATTCAAACAGTGAAATTTAGCCTAGAGTAAAACCAATTGCCCTCATATCAGAACTCAAACCGCTGTCTAAATTTAATGGTCTCAGGAATGATATGTTTAACAGATTCAACCCAGCGCAGAACTATGCCTTAATGTTGTCACCTTTCATAAATTAACCATTTTTTAGATGTGCAGTTTCAATGTTTTGCATTTCACATTGTCAACATTACCTTCTATTTTGAAAATAACAGCACGTCATGGTTCAAAAGTGATGTGAATGTGTGATTATCTTCTACCATTTAAGCTTGATTTTGTATGAGCTTTAGTATTAGTAGTATTTTAGCATTTTGGTTGATTGTAAATTTATAATGCAATATACGAAATGCCATGGTGTAACTAACTGCCCTGGTCATGCTAGCCAATCAGGGGGGTGAGATATGGTGTAATCCTGATTTACCTCAGATTAATTATATTATTTCCACACGTGTACATACTGGAATGATTAATCATATTCAACTCCAATCTGTATTCGCATATCTCTTAATTCCACCCCCCCTGTATTTTTTCCGTTGCATGCATATTAAGACAAATATGTTTTATGTGTTCCAATCCGAAATTAATCAACTGAAACGGGGAGAATTCTATCAGTTCTTCTGCAGAAATGTATTTTTCTTGAACATCTGCCATAACATAAAATCCCATGCAAAACCTGATAGAAGGTGCCTTCAATTCATTATACTGTTTTTCTGCCAGTCACAAAACATCTCCCCCAAAAAATCATATGCAAAATATATTAGGCATTTTTTTAGATGTGCCGTTTCAATGTTTTGCATTTATCATTCTCAACATTAGCTTCTAAATTGAAAATCACAGCAGGTTTGCACTTCAAAAGGGATGTGAATAATTAATTATCTTCCACTAATTAGGCTTGATTTTGTATGAGCTTTACCTGAGTAGTATTTTAGCATTATGGTTGACTGTAAATTTATAATGTAATATACGAATTGCCAAGGTGTAACTAACTGCCCTGGTCATGCCAGCCAATCAGGGGGGGTAAGATATGGTGTAATCCTGATTTACCTTGGACTAATGATATTATTTCCACATGTATACATACAAAACTCCAATCTGAATACCCATTCCAAAACTATTAAACAAAGACATTTAAGAACATTCTAACACAAATTATTTTATAAATTGCAGGTCTAGCACTCGCAAATCAATGAAATGTGGACTTTAATTGTTCCATTGTAATTTTTTTTGTGCGATGTGGTTTAATCCTAAAAAGTTGTAATAAATAGATTTAGGCTAGATTTAGGAAGTTCCCCGCTACAGCACGACCCCAGGTATGTTCAACTCTGCACCGCTTATCTCTTGATTCCCCCCAGAATTTTTCCTTTACATGCATATTTAAGACAAATGTGTTTTATGGGTTCCAGTAAAAAATTAATCAACTGAAACAGGGAGAATTCTATCAGGTTTTTTGTAGAAATGTATTTCTCTTGAACAACTGCCATTCCACATGAAATCCTATCCAAAAACCTTATATGATGCCTTAACGACATAATCATGTTTTCCGCTAGTCACAAATTTTGTCCATAAAAAATTCCTACAGGAAACTTTTATAAATCCGTAAAACCATTAAACCGTTTTCTGCCAGTCACTAAATTTCACCACCAAAACGTATAATGTAACCCTACCAAAATGATATTTCCCTGTTTTATTTGGTTCCCACAAAACCCTTGTGGAAATTCACGTTTTTCAACTCTGATTTTTGTTAATCATTGACACACAAATTGTTACCTATTTTTAAATAGATATCAATGTGTTTTGAATGCATATAGATTTTGAGCAAGTGCAAGTACCACATTCTTCAGATAATGATGAAATGAGCTACAAAAGATATGACCTGTTGAGTGATTGTTCACTCTGGTCATACATGATGTTGTGCTCATACACAACCTATCCCAACTCCGAAGGTGGTGTCAAAGACTTTAAATCTTTGACAAATGTATTATCAAAACATTTTATATATATATAGACCATGACCAAGTTTTGCATATGACATTCAATGATATCCATGCCTTGTCGAGTAATATTTCACTATGGTGCTTGATGAGGTTGTCCAAACAGACAACTCACACATTACATACACATTTGTTAAGCAAATCACCTAGTGTCAAAAGACGATTTGTATTCATATAGGAATATAGATGAGTTAAGGTATCACGTCACTCTAGGTTCCCAATTGAAGCAGTTTGTAGGACATAAACAAAAGATCACAAAAATATATGAAACATTAGATCCGCTCCATATGTATAAGGGCTACTTGGCTTACATGGAGAGCACATTTTAGGCTTAAATGTGCAAACCGATTACAAAATTCAAAAGCAAAACATAGAGGATATTAACTTTACGTTAATTCCATACCTAAAATCATTTCTCCATTTGGCTAGGTTTTATTTAAGGCACTGACACAATACTTATTCATAACCATGACATGTTTACTACATAATATTTAAATCAAGGATAGCATCATGGTTTAGGCTCCTCGATCTTGATCCCTTTCATCTTTTTAACTGGCATAGTGGAGGAAGATTCTCCAAACAAATTCCTCTTGATTTTGTCAACATCAATGTCCAGGGCAGCCCTTTTTTCCTTGTTCAGCAAAGGGCTTCCAGAATTCACTGGCTGGGAAGAGCCAACCTAAAAGGATAAAGAGTATTTGTTCATTGAACAATGTTTTTACAATTCTCAAAGGATATTCAATTGCTCTCACCTTTTCCCCCACTGAATACTCCCTCCTTAAGACAGAAAACTCATCCTCCTCCTGCACATTGTAATATTTCATTGTGTAAAGTCACACCTTTTCATGAAGTACGCAAAATTAAGTTGGTTAAGTTAAGTATCCAACCTCCGCAGAATTTGACTCTGTAACATACAGTGAGATAACTCTAGGGTCAGTATTCATCCTAAGCACGCTGTAGTTCTGATTACCCTTGTAATTTCGGCTGTCTCGCTTAACCTGTACGCGAAACAGAGCTTTGATGTCCATCAATGCGTTGATCTCTGAAGGGAAATAGTTAGGCCCAAAATTCCTCTGCAACAAAACAGTACGTTTAACTGCTATCTGTAGCCAGGATTTGAAATATAGAAACCGTTATCAACTATATATATAGTTATCGGACCTTAGAAACTTGTTCTTTGAGGGATGTAGCAGAGCGCCCAATCAAACATGATACCTCTCTGTCCCAGAGAAGCAAGGAGGCATGCGAGCTCTTATCAACCACCCTAATATTCACCTTGTACCTACACCAATAGTATAAGCCAATATGCTATTAACATCTTCAAAAACAAATTAGATGGGTAAAATTTTCTTTAGGAAACAACACCTCAAAACAGCATCCGAGGAATTGCATGAGAGGCACTGAAAGCTGTCACCATTTGGTGTCACCTTTCGATTGCATCCAATGCATGACACGTATGACCAATCCTTGTGACTGTCTATACCAACGATTTCTCCGTAAACCCAATGCTTACCATCCTTGACGTGTATATAAAAAAGAAATGTCAGCTAACATAACAAATGTAGAAAGATAAACCGCTAGTCACAATCGGTGTACCTCTTCCATTTTAGAGAGTTGATCGAGGGTGACCAACTGTAACTCCCCAGTGCTTATGTCACCGTCATTTGATGTATCAGATGCAATGGTAAAACTCAAACCCTGACCACACCTGCTTGCCATTCTTGTCTTAAATTCATTGAACTCTTCCTCCGGCCCGTTTAAAATTACTTTCGTGGTGTTAAACATGTTGGACACGTGCACTTGGCCTAAATTTTGTCCGCAGATTAATTGGAAATATAAGACATTCTCGAAACATCATAATTCATAAACGTAGAGGTTACTAAAATTTAACCTTGGTATTTCTTTGCTCGGCAACACTGAAGCAGCATGACTATCGGTTCAGCTGTGGTTAGTTTATATGTTAACAACATATCCACCATTGGCCCCCAAAGGGTGCACGCAATGACATTGCCCCTTTATAAAAAACATCTTAAAAATTAGAAAACTGCCAATCGGGCTGGTAAACGTAAATTTATTTGGTCATAAAGTTACTAACTCTGTATCTCCCAGAATAAGTTCCACCAACTTTTTCGGACGGTCATTCTTCAAAATTGTCTTTGGGTCCCTATCATGCACAACTTGTCCGATGATATCTGCATTAAGTTCATTTAAGTTAATTGTACACCAACACAACACCATCTATTGAATAATATGTACTGGTTCACAAAGAAATGGACCTATAGCTGCTTTATCATCAATAGAATCTTGGGCCTGCAATGTGGCAAAGGACACCAACGAAAATGTCCGCAATGGGAACAGAACTTTAATCTCAAAGGCCTCGCTTTTTTTAAAAAAACGTAGCCTATAGGCGCTGGTGGTGGTTTTGAAGAACATGAAATTTTCCTCGACCATAAAATTTTTTATGGCATAAACTCGACCTTCCCTGAATAGGCCAAAAAACTTGGCAATGAAGTGATCAGGAATATGTCCATGAATCTTCGAACCCTACAAAAATGCAAGAGCAAATAAATAAATAAAAACTTGCTTAGTGAAAATTATTTGAGGCATTTACAATACCTCCTCGTCATGGAATATGACTTCCATTGACGGTGGAAAGCCATCATGTGCTGGTTCCCGATACACCCTCGTTGCCCTCGCCTTTATGGCCCAAGAAGTTCTTGATTGATCAATTTCCTTAATCATTGACCACATTCCAACCATTCTTAGAGTTTGAGTGCTATAAAGGAATTTTTTTTGGCTAAGCGAATCCTGATGATTGTGGCTTGCATCTGTATTGCCTTTATATAGGCAGCTACGCTTTGATGACTCTTAGGTGTTGATGAATAATTTCACTATTCCACCACCCCCTTGACCAATAGGAATAGTCCACCGCTCCCTTGACCAATAGGAATAGTCCACCGCCCCCTTGACCAATAGGAATAGTCCACCGCCCCCTTGACCAATAGGAATTAAGCATTAAAACACACCAAATCTTGCCTCTGTAATGCCACGCACTAAAGCAGATCTGCCTACTCTTTAAACCAATTAGAAAATTGTTCTTCAGCCAATACTTACCCACATTAAATCTCAACCATAGAATGGAACTTGCGTATTTTACTAAACAGTGCAGCCAACCTGAATACCCAATAGAAACGTATAGGAATTTCAATGTCAACACCACCGCAATCTTAGCCAATACGTATGGGACACCATGGAGCTCACCAATATCTCGAAATTATATTTTCCAATTTTTTTGAGGAAAAAATGCACACAAAGGCATGATGTTGACATTTCTTGGAGGGAACCCTATTCATCAATTTCTTTTGCTTTTAGATTATAATAGATGTTTGGATTGAGCGTTGAAAAGTGTTAGTAATGGAAGTGTTAACAAGTTTTGGGAGAGGTCCGGAAGGGAAAGTAAGTGTAAGTGTAAAGTATACACTTACCTTGTTTGGGAGAGTTAAAAAACGAAGTGTTAAATAATGGAAGTGTTTTTAATTAAATTGACAATAATATTGTAAAACTCATGCACAGAGTAAGGAAAGAAATATTTAGGGGAATTAACTTGTGTATTCCTTATGTGTAAAAGGGTTATTTATACAAGTAATTACAATAAATGAGCCCTTAGCCCAACTAACTAATATACAATTAAATACAATGAAAGGGCCGAGCCCATATATGGTTAACACACACACACCCCCCCCCCCCCCTCCTCAAGTTGGAGCATGGGGTTCAAAAATGCCCAACTTGCTAGGAAGATACAGAAACTACCGTTTTCCCAAAGCCTTCGTGAAAATGTCCGCGAGTTGTGCGCCTGTGCGTGTGTAGATACATGACGAGCCACCAATAGTCCTGCTTGAACAGCGTGCCTAACATAGTGACAGTCGATCTCGATGTGTTTGGTACGCTCATGGAAGATAGGATTATGAGCAATATGAAACTCCGAGCGGCTATCACAAAACAAGGACATAGAACCGGTATGAGCAACTCCAAGACTAAGAAGCAAACCTTTGAGTCATTTTAATTCTGCCGTAGTAGCTACCATGGAACGATACTCGGCCTTGGTGGAAGAGCGAGACACAGTATGTTGTTTCTTGGTATTCCCGTTTTTTGACCCGGATCCGAATTCTTAACCCTGTGGTTTGGGCGGGAATTCTTGCTCCTTTTCCACAGCAGTTTGTATAGAGGAAGATGGGGTCATATTCTTAATTACCCTAAATTCAAATGGGGTCTTTTTGCAATTAATACCGAATAATTATAAAAATGTCACCTTGTCATTATGAGCCATTGATTGCAAAATTGAATGATGGAGATTAGAAATTCTCATTTTAAAAAAGAATGTATGTATGGAACATACTTGCAGCTGAAGGGGCCTATGGTTTAAGCGTTAGCTTTGAACATGTTTTTCACGCAAGGGCGAGGGCTACGCGGCGATAGGGTGGTTCGTGGGACAACTCCAATCAATTCCGGTTGGGTGTTTGTCTGCGACTATTGGCTCGGTCGTATAGCAGCATTTTCGGCGAGGAGTTTTGAAGGCTTGCGAACGGGGAAGAGGGCTCTCCTCTGGCGAGAGTTTTGGACCTGCGAACTGGAGGTCGTGGATTCAACGGTTGGACTGAAGAAGGAGCAGGTACGTTTGCCTCGGCTCTGACTTGCGTTCATCCATGGGAGGGGGCAAGTTCGGATCTAGGCAATCATGTGGGTAGGAGATCTGTTTGCTGGTTGGTTACGAATTGCTGCAACCATGGGAGCGGTTGGTTGGATTAGCAGGTGTTTGGGCAATTTAGCATCACTGTTGAGACTTGATTTAGAAGTTGTTCTCTTCGTGAATGTTTCTGAATTTATTAAGTTCTGATCTGATCTGAATCTTTCTGATCTGATCTCATCTGAATCTTTCTGATCTGATCTGATCTGAATCTTTCTGATCTGACTGAATCTTTCTGATCTAGTTTGATCTGATCTGAATCTTTCTGATCTGATCTGAATCTTTCTGATCTGATCTGAATATTTCTTTAATTATAATTATAATTATTATAAGGAAAAATTGAAAATAATAATCCCAACTATTGCCGGTCCGCTGAAAATAATCCCAACTATTGATTATTTTTGTATAATCCCAACTATATAGACTATCCGCCAATAATGGTCCATGACCATATATTACCTCTATAAAAAGTGAATTTTAAATAGAAATTAAGCGTAAAAATTAAAAGTTGAGATTATTTAGAGAGATTACTTGTTATATCTCACCCCATCCACTTTAGAAACTACAAGAATTTATTCATAGGGACCATTATTGGCGGAAGGTCCCTAAAGTTGGGATTATTCTGTAATAAATCAATAGTTGGGATTATTATGAGCGGACCGCCAATAGTTGGGATTATTACTATCAATTTTTCCTTATTATAATCATAATTGTAATTATAAATATAATTTAAATATAATTTATAATTATAGTCATAATTCTAAAAATATTTAATTATAATTACAATCATAATTATAATTATAATTAAAGTTATGAAAAATTATACGTACTACACTGATTATAATTATAACTATAATTATAATTGTAATTGTATTTTTAATTATAATTATTTCTATAATTATAATTGTAATTATAATTATAATTACTCTGTATAATAACAAAAATAAATAATAATAATAATAATAATAACAATAATAATAATAATAATTATTATTATAATTATAATAATAATAATAAAAAAAATAATAATAATAAAAATAATAAAAATAATAATAATAATAACAACAACAACAATCACCTCAATAATAATCATAATATTAATAATCATAATAATAATAATTGTTATTATTATTATTATTATTTTATAATAATAAAAGTGATAAATCATGTTTGAAATTTTCTGATCTGATCTGATCTGAATCTTTCTGATCTGAATCTTTCTGATCTGGTCTGAATGATTCTGATCTGATCTGATCTGAATCTTTCTGATCTAATCAGATCTGATTTGAATCTTTCTGATCTGATCTGATTTGATCTGAATTTTTCTGATCTGATCTGAATAAAATAAGAATAAGCAATAAGTAATAAGAATAACAATAATAATAATAATAATGATGATGATGATGATGATGATGATGATGATGATGATGATGATGATGATGATGATGATGATGATGATGATGATGATGATGATGATGATGATGATGATGATGATGATGATGATGATGATGATGATGATGATGATGATGATGATGATGATGATGATGATGATAATAATAATAATAATAATAATAATAATAATAATAACAACAACAACAACAACAACAACAATAATAATAACAATCACCTCAATAATAATCATAATAATAATAATTGCTATTATTATTATTATTTTAAAATAATAAAAGTGATAAATCATGTTTGAAATTTTCTGATCTGATCTGAATCTTTCTGATCTGATCTGATCTGAATCTTTCTGATCTGGTCTGAATGATTCTGATCTGATCTGATCTGAATCTTTCTGATCTAATCTGATCTGATCTGAATCTTTCTGATCTGATCTGATCTAAATTTTTCTGATCTGATCTGAATAAAATAAGAATAAGCAATAAGTAATAAGAATAAGACGAACAGAACAGCACCTTACATATGTTTGGTTTGTCAATTTTGATTTTATTGGTGAGTGTGATGGAAGCGACACCGGCATTTTTTTATCTAGGGGGAATAGGCTTGGTGAAAGGGGCGACTCAGTGGGTGGCAATTCGGGGTTGTTTGGCGACTAGAAAATATTATCTAGCCATGGATAGACTGATGTGGTGGTATAGAGAATTCCCTATGCAAGTGATGAAGGAAGAGCAGGGAGTGTTGTTGATTCGTCCCCCTCCTGAACCGCCACCTTGGAGTGATCGAGAGGCCACAATTTGGTGGAAGATGAAGATTTCAGAAAGAGTTTGGAGTATTTATCAGTTATTTCATTTGTTATGGATATCTTTTTGTGTTTAGCTTATTTACGTTGTTCTGCTTTTTATTATTTTCTTTAGTTTTAGGCCTAAAATAATGAGGGATAATGTTGTTAGATATTATATTGTTATAAGGATCGATATAGCCAGTGAGTACTGGATACCCGTTTGGTGGTTAGCGATTCGTATCGCTCTTTCAAGGGTGGTCGTTTCTATGTCTAGCCGTGGGGTTGATAGTGATAATTGGGTACAGATTGTGGTTGTCAGTATGAATGTCTTTGAATTTGATGTAACGATCCGAACCCTAATGATATTAATATAAGCAGTTTTCCTTTAAAAAAAAAGGAATGTATGTGGATAATGCAATAATTACAATGTTACAACTCTTAAAGAATTTAGGAAATACTTTGATTATTTGTTCATTAAAAATGAAGTTTTCCGTTTAAAGAACGGAGATAATAATATGAGCCCGTTTGGTGATTTTTTTGGCTTATAAGGCTTATCAACTAATTTTTTCACCAAACATGTTATTTTTTATTTTGCGCGCTGAATGATATAATAATAATAAAATGTAAGGTCGGAGTTACTTTTTTGCTGTATTGGCTTAAATTATTGTAGAGGATCATTTGAGGTATTTTACATACGAGTATAATTTTTTATTTTATTTATTAATAACAAATATTTTACATATTGTTTTTTTATAAATCCACAAAATCAGCCAATACATCAATTCAACCAAAACTTTATAAATTCTAGCCGAATCAGACAATTTTAGAGCTCGTTTGGAGACCCTGTTTTTCGGCTTATCAGCCAACTTTTTCGCCTAACTCGTAACTTTTGATTTCGCGCGATGAATTGTGTAATAATAAGAATATGTATGCTTATAGTTACTTTTGTGGCTGTATTGGTTGGGGTTGTTCTAGATGACCATTTTAGCTATTTTTTCAATATTTTTCTTTATTTTATTAATAATATACTCCCTCTGTCCTTTAAAACTTTGTCAACTTTCATTTTTTGGATGTCCCACTAACTTTGTCACTTTCCCTTTTAAATAAAGAATTTGTGCTTTCAGTTAATTCTCTCACCTCTGCACAAAACTGAATCACACAGTTTTTTACTTTATTAATCCCCGTGCCGGTCAAACTTGGCAAAGTTTTAAGGGATAGAGGCAGTATATTTTAAATATAACTTTTTCATGAATCAACAGAACAAGCCAATCCAATAACTTCATCAAAAATTCATAAATTTCATAAGAATCTGACCATGAATATACCCGATTTTGGTATTAGCAAATATATACCACCTCTATGCCCCTCTATCCATTGAAACTTTGCCAAAGTTGACCGACACAAATAATAATAAAGTAAAAACTGTGTGATTGAGGTTTGTGCAGAGGAGAGAGAAATAATAGAAATCACAAAATAATTGATTAAAAAGGAAAGTGACAAAGTCTTTTGGGACATCCCAAAAAAGAAAGATGACAGGGTTTTAAGAAATAGGTTCTTAGACCATTTGAAGTAGTGAGGTATTAGGAGTCCAAAATGTTAAATATGGAACTTTTGGACTCATAATTGTGTGTAGTGGTGATCTAAAAGGGGTATTAAAAATGGAGAAGAGGATGGAGGCAATGATTTTTTTGGCAACTCTTTCTAACTTATTATAGTATTTGTTTTGTTAAAACCAACATCCTGGGATGAGATTCAAACATGTGACCTCATCCTTGGGAGTGTCACAGTGATGTCATCAAATCACAAGGTACTTTACAGAGGAAAAAGATTTAATATTCACAAAGAATAGATATACTGATATATATATTCAAATAGCTACAAAGGCTGAAAATTAGTTGAATGATAAAATAATAGAATTTCTATAATAACAATAACAGTAGTAGTAGTAATAATAATAATAACAATAACAATAACAATAACAATAACAATAACAATAACAATAACAATAACAATAACAATAACAATAACAATAACAATAACAATAACAATAACAATAACAATAACAATAACAATAACAATAACAATAACAATAACAATAACAATAACAATAACAATATAACAATAACAACATTAATAATAATAATAGGTTTTTCCAAAAACATTACTCAAATAAAATTTACTTACAAAAATATGATTACAAATAATTATAGTATCATGTTGTCACTTAAATGTAAAAATTGAATATAAATTACTTCAATTAAAGTTACTACATTTAAAAGTTCACATTCTTTAAAATCATTTTTATTTTTGTCATTAATAATATGTAAATGTTCCTAATAATAAAGTTGATGACGAAAAGAATATATTACAATTAATGTCACTTGAGTAAGTTTAAAATTTAGTTGGAGCGAATGGTGCACCGGCCTCCAAGTCTACACGGTTGCATTTGTTGAATGGTGTTCAAAGAGAATTGCTGATTTCCCACACCGGTTAACTCGGATACTTCTCTTTCAAACGTAGCTATAAATAACCGCTCTTGTCGTTGAACGTATACACACAACTGTAGGACTTATTGCTGAGGAAGGAATGAGGACAGCTGCTTATGGGCTTCAGTCTTAGTCAAATTTAAGGGTCGGCCTTCTTTGGGCCGCCTTTCTTCCCGCATTTGGGTGTTGCGAGGCGTTTAGTTAGCGCCTTGCGCTTAGGCCCGCCTAAGCGGCGCCTATTTTAAGCCTTTTAGAACACTGGATGGACGGGGTTAAATATAGATGGTGAGTTTAGAAGAGTGGAAAAAAGAAAAAATAAAGAAAAAAGAAAAAGAATGGCACCGATGCATGTTTTCTTTTGGTGAGAATGATGTCATGTTTTCTTTTGGTGAGAATGATGTCATGCTGGTGTCACCCTTGCATCATTATACCCCAATTTTTTTAAACTTATATAACTTTTTTACTTGTCATCTAAATTTTTCAAAAAATATATCAAAATTTTTAAATTTTTATGATCTTTCATATGACATCCATATGTGATATATAAAATGATTTTTTTTTGAAATTTTAACTGTTGCGATTTCTTGAGTTAAAAAACGAAACAAAAATTTTTAATTCATGAAATCTTCACAAATAACTGAATATTTTATAATCGAACTTCACTCAAACAAATTCATTTTTTTAACCGCAAAATGTTAAAAAAAAGTCGTGAAAATTATTTACTTTTATATCGAAATATGTATTTTTTATTTCATAATTATTCAGGGGAAAAATTAAAAGTGAAACGTGACTTATAATAATTTAATTAGTGTTTTACTAAATTCATATGTAAAATATATGCAGAGTGTAATTTATTAACGGTGCACGAATGCAGGGAAAAATAATATTGACGATGTCTAAATACTATTTTGATATGGATGAAGTGCAAATGGTCTTGAAATTGACAGTCCAGTCTCCATAGTTGACGTGACCGAGTTCAAAATTCTTCAGGATGTGCAGAGCCAACCAAAACCAGTGATTCTCTCTCTAGAATTCTTACCGATTTCGCTGTAATAACCTTCCAAGCGTTCCTTAATCCGTAAGCATCCGTTTCCACCTCCGTTTTCACTGTCCAGATCTTACATTCTCTACTCCTCAAGAGTAGCCCACTGTGCTGAAATGGCCGGCCGTTTTGACGGCAACCCGTTTGAGGAAGATGTTAACCCTTTTGCTGTAAGCTCCCTCCCTGCCTCCCTCTATACTCACATGTGTATGATCGTCTGTCCTAAAGCTCAAAATCCCAATTTAACTTCAACGATTATGTACTTGTTGACTTACTTTCCTGTGCATTTTCATTCACTAAATATATACCTGTTAATGTAACTAGTAATCCGAATCTGAACCTAGTACTATTTTTTTTTTAAATTTGCATATCCTGGTTTTGAGACGAGATGGGGTGGAAACCCGATCTAGATTTGATTTCTATATAAATACATTATATATGCAATGCGGCCGATTCACCTGATCTATCATATGCTTCTCGTTATGTTGACTATAAGTTCTTATGCTTCTCCCTCAGGGAGTCAGGGTTAGCCACCTTATCACCTAGTTTTTTCTCTTTGCCCATTGAGTAGTCCTGTTTGGTCTAAAAACTGATTCAGAGTTAGTGGTGTTTGAATATTTGAGTCTGTGGCTCTGTGCTAACATTTCCTAGTAGCGGATCTTCTTCTCATGTGCGTTTAAGTGCACTATTACATACGTAGTATAAAAAATCTCCTAATGTTCAAAAGTGCACTTTTGAAGTATGACTTATATCTTCTTCTAATGTTGCTACTACTAGGATCAAGGAGCTAGGGGAAAATCAACAGGAACGACCACTTTTAGTGGAGGTGCATTTTACACAACTGTAAGTTTGCATCATTTTGATCCATATTTGTTCAAGACGTGTACGGGGGAAATATATCTTTAACCTAATAGTGTATGTTCGGAATAAAGAATAGCATAACTGCATAAGAGTATCAACTAATGAAGTGAGAAAGAACATGAGACCTAGCTTGAATATATATTTAAATTCTAATGGAAGACCACCAAAAGGCCTACACTAGTGGAATGGAATAGCTATTGTTCTCTCGATTCTTCATTTTCATTTTTTCATTTTCATTTACCCCAGTGCCGCAAAGGGGGTCAGATGTACGCAGTCTTACCCATGTACTAAAGCACAAAGAGACTGTTTCTGGATGACCCATAGTGAAAATCGCGTCCAAAATTGCATGGACTGACTACTGCTTCATAACAAAGAAGCGCAGACTGTTAGAGATTATCACACTGAACACACACACTCTGCAGTAATTAAAGACACAAAGATTTAAGGTGGTTCAGTCGTAATGACCTACATCCACACTGTTGCAACTAGAAGATGTATTATTTCTGTTTTTTGCTTTTATTTACAGGTACATCAAGAGGATATTTATAGAGTGGGAATAGGGTTACAATATGGGCTTTAAATATGGGCTTAACCCTAATGGGCCTGCTGCCCCCTTAAGCCTCCATACATTACAATCTCCCACTTGGAGGCTTTGGCAAACTCCAAACTGTCTCCGTCTCTTCACTTGACACTTCTTGTACCTCTGTAAATTCTTTTCTTCTAGCTGCAGCGCCTTCTCATCATTATTCCTGAAGGCCAGTTGAAGCTATGCATAGCTTCAACTTCTCTGAGGTAACCACCTTGGTTAGCATGTCTGCGGGATTCTCTGTTTCTTTAATCTTTTCAAGCTTCAATGTTCCATCACTGATAGGACCTCTGATGAAGTGATATCTAAGCTGAATGTGTTTCGTTTTTCCATGAAACACGGGATTCTTCCCCAGATGAATTGCACTTTGATTATAACAAAACAATGGACTGTCAGGCTGTTTCTTCCCAAGTTCTTCCATAAAAAATTTCAACCAAATCAATTCTTTACTGGCTTCAGCACAAGCCATGTATTCAGCTTCAGGTGTTGAAAGAGCAACACTCTTTTGCAATCTGGACATCCAACTAACAGCGGTTCCTCCTACTGAAAAAACAAACCCAGTTGTGCTTTTATACGTTTCCTTGCATCCCCAAGGTCAGCATCCGTATAACCCCTAAGAACAATGTCTCTGCCTGAGAACCGTAACCCCATCTTCGAAGTGCCTTTCAAATACCTTAGCAGCCATTTGACTGCCTCCCAATGTTCTTTCCCCGGATTGGACATAAATCGACTAACCACCCCCACTGCTTGTGCTATATCCGGCCTTGTGCACACCATTGCGTACATAAGACTGCCTACAGCTGATGCATAGGGAACCTTGGCCATTTCGGCAATTTCTTCATCCGTCTTTGGTGAATGGTCTTTTGAAAGCTTAAAGTGACTTCCTAGTGGATTGTTTCTGGTCTTGGCATCTTCCATTTTGAATTTCTCTAATACTTTTCTGATGTACTTTTCTTGAGAGAGTGTTAGAGATCCGTCTTTGTTCCTTGAGATACTCATTCCGAGTATCTGTTTTGCAGCACCCAGATCTTTCATTTCAAATTCTTCTGACATTTGCTTCTTCAGTTTCTTTATCTCTTTCATATCAGAACCAGTGATTAACATATCATCCACATATAGGAGGAGAATGATATAGGACTGCTTGAACTTCTTGATGTAGCAGCAGTGATCCATTTCACATCTCTTATATCCGGATCTACCCATGAAATTGTCAAATTTCAGGTACCACTGCCTCGGAGCTTGTTTTAACCCGTACAAACTCTTCTTCAACCTGCAAGCCATGCTTTCTTTTCCCGGAACCTGAAAACCTCCAGGTTGTACCATGTAGATATCTTCATTCAAATCTCCATGTAGAAAGGCTGTCTTTACATCTAGCTGCTCTAGATGAAGATTCTCTGCAGCAACAATACTCAGGACCAGTCTTATAGTTGTCATCTTCACAACCGGAGAGAAGATTTCATTGTAATCAACTCCCAGTTTCTGTTGGAAACCCTTGACCACTAGTCGGGCTTTGTACCGTTTGGTACCATCGTGTTCCTTTTTGACCCTGTAAATCCATTTGTTTTGCAATGCCTTCTTGCCGGGGGGGAGGTTTGTCTCCTCCCACGTTCTGTTCTTTTTCAATGACTTCATCTCATCCTTCATTGCAATCTCCCACTGCAATGAATCTTTCATTCTGACTGCCTCGGTATAACTTTGAGGCTCTCCATTCTCAGTTAACAACAGAAAATTAGCAGATGGAGAATACTTCTCTGGTGATACCGATACTCTAGTAGATCTTCTGACCCACTGAGTCTGAGGGGGCGGTGAGGCATGAGCTGTAGTTTCTTCTTCGTCTTCAGAAGTACTGTCTTCAGAAATACTGGTTGGATCTTCTTGAGAACCACTTGTTGAGCCATTTTGAGGTTCAACTTCTGAGCTCCCACTGTCTGAGACACCTGCTGGAGCTTTAGTTTTCAGTGTATCTTCAACCTCTGTATATTCTTTCTGAACTTCTGGTTTGGTTTTGCTTCGGTCTTTGTATAACTCGGCTTCATTGAAAGTGACATTCTTGCTTCTGATTACCTTATGTTTATCGAAATCATAGAGTCTATAACCCATCTCGTCTGACCCGTATCTGATAAATGTGTACTTCTTGGCCTTGGCATCTAACTTATCCCTGTTTTCAATAAACTGTAAGCAGCACATCCAAAAGTTCTTAGATGTGTAAGTTCTACCTCCTTTCCTCTCCATTCTTCCTCTGGTATTTTGAAATCCAAAGGGACAGATGGCCCACGGTTGATAAGATGGGCTGCAGTGTTAACTGCATCGGCCCAGAACATCTTGGGCAGACCGGCATTCAACCTCATGCTTCTAGCTCTTTCGTTCAAGGTTCGGTTCATCCTCTCAGCAACTCCGTTTTGTTGTGGTGTTCCCGGAACCGTCTTGATCATTCTAATTCCTCTTTCAGCACAATAGTCAATGAACTCTTTGCTAATGTACTCCCCTCCATTATCAGACTTGATGCTTTTTACCTTCAAATTGGTTTCCAATTCAACAGCAGATTTCCATTTCTTAAAGGTATCAAAAACATCAAATTTATTTTTCAAGAAATAGACCCATACCTTTCGTGTTGAATCATCAATGAACGTAACATAGTAGTTTGAGCCTCCCACAGATGAGACTGTTGTTGGTCCATATACATCCGTATGCACAAGCTCCAGCTTCTGTGCTTTTGGCGTCTTTCCTGTCTTCAAGAATGTAACTCTCTTCTGTTTGCCAAGGACACACGATTCACAGAATTTAGTTTCCACTTTCTTCAAGTCTGGAAACTTTCCCTTATCGGCCAACATTTTTAGTCCTTTGTCGCTCATATGTCCAAGACGTTGATGCCACAAACTGGATGGAGTCATACCTGAAGACATAGCATGAACACCCTCTTTGGGTATTTTTGTCATGTAAAGAGTTCCCCGTTTCTTTCCACGAGCGATTACCATGTTACCTTTGATCACTTTCCATTTTCCACCCCCAAAGTGAACATCCAACCCTTGATCATCCAACTGCCCAACTGAGATCAACTTCCTCCTCAAATTTGGAATAACCCTGACATTTTCCAATGTCCACGTAGTTCCCAAAGAGGTCTTCAAGTCCACATTACCAATCCCTGTAATGTTAAGTACCTGGTCATCAGCTAAACGAACCTTACCATGATTACCTGTTCGTAGGTTTCTAACCATATCCGCACATGAAACAACGTGAAATGATGCTCCTGAATCCATGATCCAGGATTCCATAGAACTCTCAACACAACAGATGAGAGCATCATCAGAATCTGATTCTGCCACATTATTTACCTGTTTGTTTGCGGATTTTGTCTTTGGGCATTGACTTCTAAAGTGACCTTTTTCTTTACAGTTCCAGCATTCAATATCAGCCCTTGATTTGACTGACTCCTCCTTCTAGACTTTGACCTGCCTCTGTTCTTCCCTTTTTCAGCCTTTCTACCCCTTGATTCAGTGCTTAACAAGGAGTTAGAAGATTCACTGGATGTTCTTCGTCTTAAATCCTCTCCTAGGATGAAGTCACGTACTCCCTCAAAGGTAAGTTTAGAATTACCAATTGAGCTACTGACGGCTGTGACCGAACTTGACCAACTATCCGGTAATGAGGATAATAACAGCAGTGCTTGAACTTCATCCTCAAATTTGATTTCTACAGATTGCAAACGAGAGACTATGACATTAAACTCATTTACGTGAGCTGCAACAGAATCTCCTTCCTTCAATCTGGTGTTGACCAGCTGTCTGATCAGAAACACCTTGTTGGAAGCAGATGGCTTTTCATACATGTTGGATAATGCTTTCATTAACCCAAAAGCTGTTGTCTCGTGCTTAATGCTGAAGGCAACATTCTTTGCTAACGTAAATCTGATATAGGATATTGCTTTCCTATTCAAGGTTACCCAATCTTCAGCCTTTGTCTTCTCCGGTTTCTGTTCTTCTAAGGTTCCATCTAGATCTTTCTGAGTCAGCAAATCTTCAATTTGCATTTTCCACCATCCAAAATCTTGCCCATCAAACTTTTCTATTTTCGACTTTCCTTCCTCTGCCATTAAATATAACGAAGGAATAGAAAATAGGGAACAACAAGAAAACCTTATCTGTGTTCTTGTAAAAATTTAAAAAAGACTGCAATTAAACTGATGGTGACGGCGGACTACCACAGACGCAGTTTCCGGCGGCTGACGGTGGCTGAGGACGGTGGATTACAGCGGCTGGACTGTAAAACTGCAATTCAACCTTACACGATGACGGCAGCTAGGTTAATTGCTGTTTTCCGGCAGCGGAGGCGGCGGAACCCTAATCCGGCAGCGGCAACTGAACTGCGGCTGACTTGGAAATCTGCAATTGAACCTTAGGCGACGGCGGCTAACTGGTCAATTGCTGTTTTCTGGCAAGGCGGTGCCGGAATCCTGTTCCGGCAGCGGTGGCAGCGTCGGCGGCAGCTGTAGCAGAAAAACGAACTTCTTTGCTGGTGTTCTGTGATACGAGCTAGAGCCTAGCTCTGATACCAGTTGTTAGAGATTATCACACTGAACACACACACTCTGCAGTAATTAAAGACACAAAGATTTAAGGTGGTTCAGTCGTAATGACCTACATCCACACTGTTGCAACTAGAAGATGTATTATTTCTGTTTTTTGCTTTTATTTACAGGTACATCAAGAGGATATTTATAGAGTGGGAATAGGGTTACAATATGGGCTTTAAATATGGGCTTAACCCTAATGGGCCTGCTGCCCCCTTAAGCCTCCATACATTACACAGACAGTTTAGTGAGCCATTTTGCTTTATTCCATCATATTCTCAAGCCAAAAAATAATGAATCTTTGACTCCATTGCAAATGATGAAAAAGTTCTCTCGATTGTTGATGAGTTTTGTTTATAAGGACTAAATGACTTGAGTTAATCAAGTTCTTCATAAGTTTTGTCGAATTCTATAAAGTAATGTGCGGGGGTCTAATTTTACTGCTCTGTAAACGGACTTGCAATTTTGCAAACATCATATATAATTATATATACGAGTAACATTTCCTTTCTGGAAGTACATAAATTCCAAATACTCTAGTAGCACTTTAACAGTTTCACAATGACTAGTCACCAAACACTTCCACATCTAGGGAATTACAGATCTGTAAAAAAACAGTTTGCATAACCTCTTAACCAAGTTAGTTTAGCTTTAGCATCCATAGGGGTTAGTAATTCAGTATCTAAGTATCTACGTGATCATCTTTATCATTACAATACTCCTCAATTTTTTTCAATGGTCTTACTCAAAAGTCAATTTGAAGTAATTAAAACCATTCAATTTATGTTGTGTGATTTTGGATGTCATTGGAAAAATTCTGACAAAACTACAGATTTAGGATCACTCATAGCAGACCAAAACCGATAAAATAGAGAATGATAGAACCTGAGTTGAAGAACCTAAAGTCAAAGTAGCCGAAGTCCAAACCAAGGCCCAGGATAAGCTCCATGGACTTGGGTGATCTAGAGATTATTGGCTAGAAAATTTTATGGCTGTCAGTAGTTGAGAGATAGTGGTGGCGTGTGTGGGCCGCGTGTATGTCAAATAAATGCCAGAATCTCCAGTTCGGAATAAAAGGCTCCAGTGGTCTTTTTGGTGGAGAAGCTGAACAAGGTAGTTACGGCGAAACTGGAACCCCAAAACGTCCTGATGCAACTTAGAAGGAATATGAGAGAAGGAAATCAGAGGGATAATTGAAGTCAAAGGCTCTAATGGCTAATGCCATGATGTAAAGTGGCAGTTCCCTAATTCACAGTTAACTGTTAAATGTTAATACATCATATATATAGACACACACACTTACATACATATATATGAAGGATCAAATAAAAACTCCTCCTAATTGACAAACTACAAACTCATCTTGGTATCCGTTGAATGGATCTAAAGGCTAGGATCGCACAATGGCATTTTGGTAATACAACCGTTAATATGTAGCTGTTATTTCATCGACACAATATTGTTGGCAAACATAATATATCATGGTCCACGGTATATTGTCTTGAATTGACTCCGTACGTACACCCATGACTATAACAAATAAGAAAGGACTAGTACGAACACTTGTAGTACAATCGTCATACATAATACACATAAATCATATGCCTTTTTAGTTAAGACCCACAGGATCTAAGTCAATGAAAACACAATGTTAATCCTTGTTAATGTCTCTATACTTCTCCATCAGTTGTTGAGCCTCCACCAGACATATAATCAAATTGGTTAACCCGAAATCGTCACACTTCTTCGGAGCCTTTGCTCCCAAAGTTTCATGGTGTTACTTACAAGCTTAATCCCTCTGATAGGGATACAGTTGTACCTAATAAAGAAGATAAATACTATGGCTGAGTATATTGTAGAAGGAATAAATAGACTAATTAGTTGAAAGTTAAATTATGTTGTTAGTTATTAACTACTTACGGTTATGATGGTTATAAATAGAATAAGTCTAGGAGAGGTCAGTAGGCTGTTTAGACTTGTGTCTTGGGACTGGGAAGTTAGAGACTTATCTCTTTCTTTTGGGGGCTTCAGCCATTGTTCTTGTTGATCTTCAATAAAGTGTGCAGTTGTTCTTGTTATTAATTCTGTAATTTTGGATATACTTGGACTGCTCTATCACCCTCAATAGTTGGCACATTCTTGTATGTTGCCCTTGTTCTTAAAAAGGGGTAAGTGTACTCTTCCACCAATTTGTTGGCATTTTGTTGTTTTTCCAATTATTGTCGAAGAAACGTGTTAAGTACTCGACGCCTCACGCCCAAACTTCTTCAGACTTCGATCAGTATACCATTTTGACCCACTCTTTTCTTCCTCTCTGACTTTCTAAGATCATCTTTAACTTCTGTTGTTTGGATCCTTCTCACAAAATCCTGGTTACCATACAATCTGGTATCGTCAAATCACCAATATCTTACCATGCAGCATGGAAATTTTGCACAGCTCATGTTTCTCTATTTTGAAACCTCGGTCGTAAGAAGTGTCGAAAACTTGGAAACTTCAAATTTATGTTCCAAGATTGTTTTCATAATTAAGAAGTGAGAAACCCATTTTCCTAAATATTTAGTGTTTGAGAAACCTTGAGTTTCCAATCTTTTTCTTGTTTATGGGATTCCATGATGGAAAATGGTGTATTTTTGAAAATATTTACTGAACTTTTATGGTATTTCTTTGCGACAACATTGTGATATTTTCATAGTGCAATACAACAACAATTGCAATACCCAAGCCTTAGTTCCAAAAGGTATGTACTGCATTTTATGTTTGGTTATGTACTATTGTACTAATGTATAATGATTTCTAAATTTAAAGTTTTGAACGTGTAGAATGTATTTATTATTGGCTCTTATTAAATGGGTTTTTTGAAAAAATATACGTGCATATATATAATTGAAAACATGTGCACATATATGAAAAAATATTTCTATATACTACGTATGTCCTTATACTCCCTAGTCCCTACTTTCCTCTATCTTTGTCTTTTTTTACCTTTTCTGTCTGTCCCACCAAGTTTGTCTCATACCATATTTGGTAATTCAATTTTACTTTATTCACACTTTGTCAATTCAATAACAACCAGCCAACCAGGTAACCACACAATCTCACTTTTTAAAATAACCACACCACTCCTTGTCCCAATCTTAGAGGGAAAGAGGTAGTACTTTTTTGTATTTACACGTCTCCCCACATTCTGTATCCTATATCTTTTAGAAATCACGTTTTTCCCGTTCCCCATCACACCTTTTTCGTTTCACGGTTCTGTGTTACTTAGATATTGAATGATTTTCATTAGTTTTATGCTTGCTCATGTGTAACAGTAAGAATACCTTTAATGCAATTTCTGTGTTAAGTGATAACCTTCATTTGCTCTGAGTTTAGTAAGGGTATGATGGGTCATGTTTTTGTGCGAAAAATGTTACTCTTACTCCAAATGGTAATGCAGTGAATAATAAAATTAACAGAAAATGAATAGAGTATTTTGAAGGGATACTAAGAAAATGAGTTTTCTGCTAAACAGAAAATGATTTCCAACTGAATGACCCCATTATTCCAACCAAACATGGTCTAAAAGGCCAAAGGCGATGATTTGAGCTAATAAGGAATAAGGATATTATAAAACCTCTTATCTTACTGAACTGACAAGTGTTGTTCTTGTAATGCCTCTAATATTCAATTGTTTAAATACTCCCTCTGTCCCAATTTAAAAGGTCCCTTTTGACTTTCACACAATTTAAGAAAATAACACTGTTTCGATACTGTTTGGCACTGGTTTGTTAACCAAGTAAGGAAATGGGACATTTGTAAGGGACAGACCGAAAAGGAAAGTGGGAAGTTTATTTAGGGATGGAGGGAGTAGCGATTAGTCTCTCGCATCTATCAAAACTATATACATTTTCTTTAGTTATAATCTTTTATATGTCTGATATAGTGATATTTTCATACGTAAGTTTCTCTCCATACTGTTTTGAAAATTTTAGCTACATATTTTGTTTTTTTCAACTTGCAGAACCCTGGAAGTGTTCCTTCAGCTCTTTCACCACTTCCTCCTGAACCGGCTGATTTCTATAATAGTGATGCCTCTGTCGATATCCCATTGGACAACACAACGGTGTGTAGTTGAACATTAAGGATTTTGGATGGATATATGTAGCTGTACGTATCCTCTATATAATGTGTTTTTATCTATGAATTTTGTTTCTCACTACAGGATTTAAAAAAGAAGGAGAAGGAGCTACAATCTAAAGAGGCTGAACTCAAGAAGAGGGAGCATGTACGTATTGATGAAAATATGAAATATGAACAAGATTTATCATATCTTTTTTATATAGGAAAACTTCCTTCTCTGAACACACATAACACATCTCTGCCTTGTAGCCTCTTAGCATATATATATTTTTTATCTTAATTGCTATTTTAAAAAAATGCTCAAAAAAGAAAGATGCCGATGATGTCATTTTCGATCCACTATTTTTGTGTGTAATTTATTCTAAAGAAGCTACACAAATTGTAATGAATTGAATATCTGAAACATGAATGTCGCGGGAACTATGCTTCATTGGCCGATGGATGACTTGTCCACTATTCATAATGAGTGCTAGCGAATCTTAAACAATTGGCCCAGTTATGGAACTATGCTTCATTGGCCCATGTGTGTTTCATTGGTTTGAATGTGTTGTCTCTTTTTGTTTAGATTTCTTAATGACTTATTTCTGTCCTCCAAATGATAAAAATAACCTACACTCTTTTTTTATGGTGAGGTCAAACATGTGCTCATTATTTGGATTATTATTGCTATGCAGGATATAAAGCGGAGAGAAGATGCTGCAGCTCGAGGTTTGCTTTGCGGTTTTTGCTTCTTTATGTGTTACATAGTTACATACCCTTATAACATTGCCATATTTCCTTTTCAATTGTCCCAAAAACTTTGTCACTTTCCCTATTGAGCAACTAGTTTGTGGTTCTTATTGTTTCTCTCTCCTCTGTACAAACCTCTACCACTCAGTTTTTACTTCATCATTCCATGTGCTGATCAATAATTCTAGATAGATAAATTCTAGTTGACATGTGTATCAAATCCATAATGATCAATAATAATATAAACAGATGGTTTGGGATTACAATCGGAGCATTGTAAAGAAGATGAAGTGTTATTCTAAATATAAAGCTTAAAAAATGTGAGTACTTGACCAAATAAAATGAAAAAAATAAAGTAGGAGTTGAAAAGCGTAATGCTCGCCTTTGGAAAATATAGTATATAACTTTCATTGCAAGAGCCTGTTTTCTTCAAGACTTCAACTTATTTAGATCTAGATAAGACCAGTTCAGACAAGACTTGCTTATAAAACCAGTGTAGACAAAAGTAAACCAAACTAGGGGAAAATTGGTTGAGGAGAATTGGTACTAAGACTTGTGCATGTTTATGACATCAGAGGCGCTACTGCACAACCTATGGATTATTTGGTAACTTCAGAAATAAATTTAAGGCTTGTTTGGTAACATTTTCTGTTCTTTGTATGTTTCTACTTTGAAATCATTCATATTTGGTTTTGCTTTCTGTTATTTTGTATTCAAATTTATAAAACATAAAACATGAGCTGGACTGTTTTGTATATTGTGAGAACATGTGATATTTATAAATAAAAAATCTACATGTGTCAGAAACACTGAAGTAAATAATTCTTCAATCAATAATTATTGAAATCATGTTTTTGTTTTCTGAAATAAAAAACAAGTAGAAAACATTACTGCCAAACACACAATTTTACACAATCCTTGTATCTCTTTTCAGAGTACAAACATATGTGGTGGTTATGTATTTCTGTTAAATATAAAATGGGCTCTACAAAAATAAATTAAGTGTATACAATAAAAGTTGTTTGCAATATCAGTCTTGTAATGGGGATTGATGAAAACAATTATCTCAACTTATTTTTGTCGTATGATATTCTTCATGCCAGTGGAAAAACATATAACATGTGATGCTGGTTTTTGAATTTGTATATCATTTTCCCTTATTAAGAAGGTTGAACATGGATAGTGTCCAAGACGTCCAACATAAAACTCCACTGCCGTGTACGGTTGTACCTTGAATTTATAATGCTATCTAAATTTCACATCACCAAACCCAACATGGGAGATAAAGGTGGTGGTGGTTGTGATGATGATGATGACCTATGTTAAAAAAATTCACATCACCAATCTCAACATGGGAGATTGCACATGATAAAGTATGTGCAATCTAAGTCTTTAAATATTTATTTAATGATTTAAAAGTTGAAAGGGCTTTAACATGCGTGCAGCTGGTATTGTTATTGAGGAGAAGAACTGGCCACCTTTTTTCCCAATAATCCATCATGATATAGCCAATGAAATTCCACTTCATCTTCAAAGGCTTCAGTATATTGCGTTTACAACCTTGTTGGGTATGCAATGTTTTATTTCATGTATTAAATTTAATATTCATATTATGTCATCTTTTTCTTTTCCATTTTAGCTAGGTTGTGTACATGCCACCTTTTTAGTATCTACTAACAAACCGGCTAAGCTAAAAGAATTGTTGTTTTTTTGGCATGAATTTTATAGTAATAGCTAATTTTAGACAACTCTTTGACTCTACACTTCATGTCATCGACCCAACATAGTTGGAGTTGAGGTGATGATGATGATATCTTTATGTTTTGGAGCTTTCAATCTTCCCATGTTGCATCTTGGTTTATTTATTTATTTATTAAGGAATATGTATGTATATATTATTCACTGATACTACAAATCTGCTGTTGAACAGGGCTCTTTGCCTGCCTTTTGTGGAATGTAATAGCTGTCACTACTGCATGGATTAAAGAGGGAGGTTAGACTAAATTACATCTGATGTTGGTCAACACTATTAACCACAATGCTTTTGACTAGGTTTTATAACAGTAATAATTTTCCTTGCAGATGTAAAAATCTGGTTCCTGTCTATCATTTATTTCATTTCAGGGGTTCCAGGAGCCTATGTGCTGTGGTACCGTCCACTCTATCGTGCTTGTAGGTAAATTTTCTTTTGTGGAGCTAACTTCTACGTGTCCCAATGATTTTTGTAAAAATGTGTGGCAATATATGGTGATTCAGCCTATTATGATAATGACTTCAACTTTTAGAAAACATCTGTGGTCCATTTGGAACTTGGAAAATGCCAGGGGAACAAATAAGGAGGCATACATAAGGGGACTTTTGAAAGGGAAAGTGTGGAAAATAAAATTTTCGTTTGAACTCTACAGTTTTATTTGTGATATTTTTCAAAGAATCAAACTCATTTCTTTATTTATTTAATATTTTATTAATACTAAGAAATCTAACCATGTCTACAAAACTTAAAAACATTAATCGTACTTCATTATCCTTTACATTTATCAAGTTGACACCAAACATAAGAAAACAACTGTCCTTAGCATCTTTATCATTTTTTTTATCTTTCTATGTTCTTATGTTATTTTTATCTTTTATCGTTCTTATGTTATAATGTTATTTTCATCTTATATGCATCTTTATCTTATCCTTTTTATCTTACTATGTGCATGTTTGGCAGACATAAGTCTCTGCCTTCTATCTTTTGTACTGTTTAAAAAGTTTCTAAAAGCTTTTAGTTGTATGTTTGGCATCACAATTTTTAAGAGCTTTTCGAAAATTAAAAGATCTTTTTTGAGATGCTACAGGGAGTAGCATCTGAAAAAAGCCTGTGACTTTAGTACTAATTAGGCCTAATAGCTTGTATACCAAACAGAATTAAATTAAACAGTCAACTTTTCACCAAACAGCTACTACCTTTTATTTTTAAGATCTTTTCAGTCACTAAAAGCTAACAGTTAATAAAAAGCTCATAAAAGTATCTTTTTAGCTAGTTATCTTTTTTATTCTTCTTATCTTTCTTCTCTTTTTGGGATTAAGGCTTGGATGTTGCTGTTGTGACTAGTTCAATTTTTTTTTTTTTGGCTACAGTGGTGCAATTCTTTTTTAGCTATACTGGTGCAGTTCTTTCTTTCCTTCATTTGTCGTTTCTTATGTAATGTGTTTTTCCATTATGTGTTAGTGTGGTTCATATATAATGGTTTGTGCAGGACCGAAAGTGCAATGAAGTTTGGATGGTTTTTCATGTTTTACTCGGCAAGTTTCTTGTGCTAAAAGTAATAGTGTATATATCTTGCCATGTGATTTTAATACCATTGATTTCTCTATGCAGCTTCATATTGGTTTCTGCATCTTTGCCGCTGTTGCTCCTCCAATAGTTTTTAGAGGCAAATCTCTAACGTAAATTCCTATTTCTACTTGCTCATTACTTAAGGGTGTTCCATGTACAATTGCTGCTAGGAGATATGAAGGAAACTTAAAAGGAAAGGAAATTTTGGGGAAAATGGAAAATTGGCTCAAACTCAATAATGCTTATGTTTATAGTTGCATAGTTATTTACTTCTATTATATTTAAATAGATAAATAATTTTTAACAATATAAAACTTTTAAAACCCGTTCTATCTTATTTTCCTTTGCATTTTCCAATGTAAAACCAAACAGAAGAAAATAGATTTTCTGAGCCTATGTTTGGAGCTGGGAAAATGCCTGGAAAGGATTTGTTAAGAGAGCTTATTTTCTTACATTTGGGTTTATCATAGGGAAAGAAAGTATCAATAATGTTTTTGTTACATGTGTTATATTGCGTAGTATCTATATAATTATAACATGAAAAGTAAATTTGTCAAATGTGAACCAATGCTTTATTTTCCACAGTATTTTTGCATACCAATGTTTTTCTTGATGGTCCTCCATAATTTCTTTCCCTAGCATTTTCTACATTCTCAATGGACCTTTAGAACTATTCTTGTACCAAACACTTTCAGGATCCAACCATATACTCAATAGGTTTATTAGTTAAATTTCATCATCAAAGTGTGTCTCACTTATTTGATGATGAGATTATTAATGTTACGGTTGTAAACTCTAACTTCTAGTTTTCCCGTCAATGCAAGGCTGATCTGATGTCATTTCCTTGTTCTGAATTTGTTTTATACAATTTTTTTGGAACAGAGGTATCCTGCCTGCTGTAGATCTCATAAGCAAGCAAGTATTGGTTGGGGTAAGCTTTGAGAACAGGCTTATCAACTTCTGCTTGTTTTTATTTTGGGAAAAAGAGTTGTAGATTTGTAGTCCCCGAGACCCCGAGTTGAATCATCATTACAGTTTTAGCAAAAAAATTAGTCATACATGACTTCTTTTATGGAGTCATATGGCATATGTAGACATCACCATCACTACACATTTTGTGGAGATCTCCACAAAAAACATGTGTGGTGATGGTGATGCCACATAGACCATGTGACTCCATAGAGGAGTCATGTATGGCTTCTTAAAACCTCTCCGGTTTTAGTCCTCCGATAATTCAACTCCCTTAAGATTTCTCCCAAGCGCCTTAAGCCCCCCCCCCCCCCACACACACACACGCTTGGCATCCCAATAGAAGAGGACCAAAAAAACATTGGGGACAACTCGCGGAGTGAAAAATAGAGGTCAGTTATCAACTTATCGGAGGACGAAAAGTGAGTTTTACACTTGTGGCATATTTAGGGACGAAAACAGAAATTTCCCCTTGCTTATTTTCTTTTGTTTTCTTCTTCTATCTTACCCCTCTTCTCTGTATGTTCATAGATTTTCTACTTCATCGGTTTTGGCTTATTTTGTCTGGAATCAATGATCAGTGTCTGGGTTATTCAGGTACATGAACAAATCTAGCTCTTCCATTCCACCATAGTTTATGTTCTCATCCAGTACCCCCATAGTTTCGTTTTTTAATCTAGTGGCCGCGTCATTTTGCAGCAAGTGTACATGTACTTCCGAGGTAGCGGTAAACCTGCAGAGATGAGAAATCAGGCCGCTAGAGATGTCTTGAGGACGGCTTTTTAATTATCTATTCTTTGGGCATTTTGTTGTATCGAATGAAAGTGGGGTTAACTAGTGGTGTGGGATGACTGGGGAGGGGGAAACCAGGTACTACACTAGTTAGGCCAATATATATGCTCGTTTTATATGTTAGTATTCGTTCATCATATTTGTTGTTAACCTTTAGACCGAAGTGCCATTAGAACAAGACAAATAGAGCTATCAATTCTGCATTTTTGTTGTTGATACAAAGGGGTTGTGTAAATCATTCTTAGACTTCATTATATGTTGTACAAACATCTTATTATCGACTTTTCTTCTAGTTTTCTATTAGTCGTTATATCTAGGGGTGGACCTGGTCGGCGGTTACTGACCAGTCCGGAACCGGATCCAGCACTGTGCTGGATCACTGGGAAACCATCTCGGTGCAGGACTGAGGTACTGGGTACCAGGCGGGTGCAGGACTGAGGTACTGGGTACCAGGCGATCCATGTCCCAGTCCCTATTACACCCCATTGGGGACTGGAACTGGCCAGTTTTTTAGCTTTGAAAATGAAAAAATTAATAGAACATGATTGGGTTTGGACTGGGACCAGATTGCTCAGTTACCTGGAATCAGCCAAAACCCGGATTTATCTGGGTCAGACCTGGGACAATGGCTATGGGTGGACCGGTTCGGGCCCAGTTCGGGCCCGGTTCGGGCCTGGGCCCGGCCGGGCCTCGGTTCAGAAATGGGTGGCCCGGAACCGGCCCGGGTAATCCCGGGTCCGGGCCGGGCCACGGTTCTATTTTTTTTTTTGGCTCTTCCTAATTAATCCCCCAACCCTCTCCTAGGGATGGACTCGGGCCGCGTGGCCCGGCCCGGAACCGGCCCGGTTACTGTTTGAACCGGCCCGGCCTGGGAACCGGTCCGGGGGGCGGTTCGGGTCGGCCCGGCTCGGTTACTGTGCGGTTCGGGCCCGGGCCCTTTGATTGGCGAACCGGCCCGGCCGGTTCGGGCCAAATTATTATTATTATTATTTTTTGAATTTTTTTTAAGTTTTTGGGTTGAGTTTGGTATTTTGGGCCATTTGAGGTGGTTTGGGGTGGTTTGGGGGTGAGGGGGAGGGTCGGGGGTTAATTAGGAAAAGCCAAAAAAAAAAAAAAAAAAATAGAACCGAGGCCCGGCCCGAACCGAACCGGAACCGGGATTACCCGGGCCGGTTCCGGGCCTCCCATTTCTGAACCGAGGCCCGGCCGGGCCTAGGCCCGAATCGGGCCCGAACCGGAACCGGTCCACCCATACCCTCTCCCTCACCCCCAAACCACCTAAAATGGCCCAAAATACCAAGCCCAACCCAAAATCTTAAAAAAATTCAAAAAGAAAAAATTAATTTGGCCCGAACCGGCCGGGCCGGTTCGCCAATCAAAGGGCACGGGCCCGAACCGCACAGTAACCAGGCCGGGCCGACCCGAACCGCCCCCCGGACCGGTTCCCGGATCGGGCCGGTTCAAACAGTAACCGGGCCGGGCCGGGCCGCCCGGCCCGAGTCCATCCCTAACAATGGCGGACATATCCCCAATTGCAAAAAATGACTAGTGCAAAAGTGCATGTATGAGGTCGCAAGTGCAAAAGTTTATATATGTATATGAACACCTAAAATTTATAAAAATAAATTTGAACGTTCAAAGTTAATGTCCATGATCGGTGCTTGAAGTTTGATTATTTTTACTATGTTTTCCTTGCAAGTCTTTATTTTGTTGGGGAATTTTGAGTTTACACCCCACTTTTTGGGTGTTATTGGACTTTGCACTCCATTTTCAAAACTTTTAGACTTTGCACCCTATTTACAACATTTTGTGAAGAAAAAATCTTGAATGATGTGCAAAGGCAAAGACATTTTAGGGGAAATATGGTGCAAAGTCTAGGAGTTTTGAAAATGCGGTGTAAAGTTCAATATCACCCAAAAAGTGGGGTGCAAAGTCAAAATATCCCTATTTTGTTCTATTTAGGCCAAATAAGAATGGTAGGCTCTTAGTTTGGTTTTTCTTAGTTGTTAGATTCCTATTGAGAGGCTGATGCAGCCGCTAATGGCCTCAAAGCTCTCACATTTTCAACGATTAGTCTCGCTCTGTTTGGGGTGGACTACTCTATGTTTGATAAAGAAGTGAAGAGGCTGGTGGGCTTATGGTAAGGTTGGTTTAGAGGGAGGTTAGTGTTGGATAATTACTTTATGGTTTGCAATTTCCCTAGTTGTATTGCGAGTTTGATTTAATATAATGGGTCAGTTTTGCTTTAAAAAAAAGTTAATGTCCATGATCCGCCATTGACCTGGGCTTCTCCTACCACTGTTACCACTGACCGGTTGTGACTTTAAAGAAACAAGAAACATGGCTTTGTCATCATCTGAAACAAAGTATGTAGCAGTTACAACAACTGCTAGACAAGCTTTGTGGTTCTGAAAATTACTTGTTGATTATAAGCTTCAGCGGGCTAAAAATTACTTGCTGAAAATTACTGGCTAAAAATAATGCCTTCCATGGAGGCGCTGAACATATTGATGTGCAGATGCGCAATGGCACAGAGAAAAAGAACACAAATGGGCGGTCATGTGATTTCTTTGTCTCAATTTAGTGTTTATTATTTTGAATCGGGAGGAGGGTTGGATAATCGAATTAGTGTTTATTTTAAGAGCAATATTATTGTTTTGTTGAAATATAATTGAATTAGTCATCTTCCAACTATTCCTGATTAAAAATTATTATCACCATTATATAAATAATCAGGAAATCATAATTATGATTCTAGATGATAATTGTGTGGTTCACAATTATCCTCTAATCATATGAAGCTTAACTTTTCTCCTATAAATAGGAGGCTTCTCCATTGTAATTAACACACTAAGATTACACTATTATCACACTTCTAATAACATCTTTCTCACTAAGTATTCAGACTATACTTTCTCTCCTTGATCTTCTGCTTATTTCCTTCCATATTATAACACGTTATCAGCACGAATTTGCTCCAAATCCCTGAAATCACCATCTTCCTAGCAGGTATATACTTTCTGGAATTTATCAATTCATTTGAAAAGAAAAACAGAGGTTGAGAAGTATGACCATGCTTATATATATTCAAAACTATAAGAAGTATGCTCTATGGTTGCCCAAGAATAGGGATCCTCCATATCAGAAAATTATAAGTATATTTTCTCTAAAGAAAGATGAATGGAAAAAGGATAAACAATTAAACATACATTTAATCAGTGTTATTTTTAAATATACTACTCCATGATTAAAATCTTAACTTTTACTTCCGGATATGATGAATTTACATCACGTCTTGATTCTCACTTAAATATGTATATATATAAATATATATACTTCATATATGATAATAAGATGTTTAGGAGGTAGTATTATTTATTGGATTAATGAAGAAATAAAACTTACCTTGTAAAATACGGAGTTCTTCGAACTGTGAAGTATCTATTTTTTTTCTCCAACTCCTTTTGCTCTTTACTATCTCATGTCTCGGAAATTCTAAACTACAAAGAAGAAAAAAAGAGCGCTTGCGTATTTTACAAAAGATAACATGAACTATTGATAAGAACCATAGATATGCATCTACTTTTATACACGTACTCCGTATGCTTATTACTCCATATGTCATATACTCATATGTGTGGAGACAGCTCATGTATGAGCTTAAGCATACGAAGTATTAAGAAAAAGAAATATATAAAGTAAGAAGAGAGGTGATGAGAGAAAATTAGAAAGTTGCTTGCTATATATTCGAACATCATTGAATTGATGTATAAACAAATATAGCTGGTAGTCAGTCACGGTCCATACAAGTAGATAAGAGCATTTATTTTACTTGTCTCCTTCCTTTGTGAAGACACTCACATAATTGATACTAGTATAATAAATATATGTATGTGAGGATCGAAGATAATACGCAGTATATGTAATATATATCCATGAAACCAACTCACGGGTCTGTAATATTACTGCATATTAGACATTTTTTTTGTTCTCATATGTAGTACAATGCAGAGTGTATGACACATCACATGATCATTAATTTACATAGCCATTATATCTTTGAAGTGGGTCCTAATTCAAATTTCTTTTACCTACAAATAAAACTAATTTATACGGAGTACTGCTTTGTTAGTCTTTAAATAATACTACTATACGTATGGAGCAATAAAATCTTCCTTGATGGGTTTCAATTTGTTTTGTTTCAAAATTCCCAATATACTGCATATACTGTGAAAAATGTCAATTAAAGGTTAATTTGATTCTAATGAAAGTCACGAAAGTCTCTGCTAGTGCTCAATATGTGACTTGTGTATACACAAACGGAGTACGTGCCTTCTAATTAATAAAATGTGTTCATGAATTTGTGAAGAGTATGAAACTCTCAGTGAACTACATACGTACTAGTATAACTAAATACATGTTATCCTAGTATTTTGAATAACAAACAAGTTGGAATAATATTAAACCCGTTTTGATGACATTGCTCAAACTTAGCCGTACTGCCGTAATAGTAATTATACTAAATTGAGTTATGAGTTTATATAATTCGGAGTACATAGCATGTATGTATATGTATTGACTACTCTGAACTAAGACATCAGTAATTTTGGACTTGTCTTGACATTATGGATGTTTATTATTACTCCCTTATTTGGTTTTCATTCACCGAAAGTGAACCCAAAAACAGCATGTTGTTCCATCTCGTTAAAGTTTAAAAACGGATGAACATGAGAAATGGAATGTTGTGTTATACGGAGTATGTATTTGTTAAATCCAAGACAACAATTTATCCATCAAAGCGATTTAGTTATTAAACTATAAAATAACCTCTCAAAAAAAAACTATAAAATAACCTTTCATTAGGGTTTTTCATCAAAACAATCTTTCAACGAAAAACTATCAACATAAGTTTTGTACTTAAGGGACCTTTGGTTATCAAGTTGCAAGGTCTCTTATTGTTAAGATGGACCCCTTAACAATTGGTATGACAGTAACTTCATCCAAACGGTTATTATGTACGTTTCTGTCGAAATCGGGAATAACCCCCTATATATAGCAACACTCATGATTGTTTTTTACCCCAAATGATGAGGTAGAATTGAATTAATAAGAAGTAAATATGTCAGCTTAATTACTTCTCTTATTAAAAGTCAAAATATAGTACCTCACTTTATTTTCTCCTTGACAGGAGTATATTTCAAAATAAAATTTTAAAGTGCTTATTTTTAACGTGAAAATTATGCACAATTAAATGTACTATTAAGTGAAGTACAATTTATATTACAATATTGAACTAATATTTGTTCATTTTTATCTTCGCGAAGATATGGAGTTAACTGAAATTTCTCCAAGTGGTTTTGAACAATGTTTAATAGACAGTGCCACAACGCACACCATTTTGAGACATTGAGATTATTTTTCTCATATGACATTAGTTGATGCTAATGTCAATACAATCTCAGGTGTTGCTAAACTCATTGAAGGTTCTGGAATAGCCTGTGTGATTCTCCCAAAAGGGACAAAATTAACAATTAAAGACGCTTTATACTCCAGTAAATCACGGAGAAATCTTTTGAGTTTTAAAGATATGCGTCTAAATGGTTTTCATATTGAAACCATGTCTGAAAATCAAAAGGAATATTTATGTCTAACGACAAATAGATCTGGTAATAAATATATTTCTGAAAAAATGCCAACATATTCATCGGGACTGTATTATACATATATCAGTCCAATTGAGATAAATGTGGTATCTAAAATTTATGACCACAATTCTTTTATCTTGTGGCATGACCGTTTAGGTCATCCAGGCAGCACTATGATGCACAAAATTATTGAAAATTCACTTGGACATTCATTAACTAATGTCAAGATTCCACAATCAAGTGATTTTCCGTGCACTGCATATTCTCTTGGCAAATTAATTATCAGGCCATCTTTATACAAAATTGGAGTTGAATCTCCTGCATTTTTAGAAAAAATTTAAGGAGATATTTGTGGGCCAATTACCCCTCCGTGTGGACCGTTTCGATATTTTATGGTGCTCATTGATGCATCAACACGTTGGTCACATGTCAGTCTTTTATCGACTAGAAATTTTGCATTTGCAAATCTCCTTGCTCAAATTATTCGTTTGAGATCACAATTTCCGGATTATTCGATAAAGAAAATCCGACTTGATAATGCAGGAGAATTTACATCCCAATCTTTTAATGACTATTGCATGTCAATTGGGATTGATGTGGAACATCCAGTTCCACATGTACATACACAAAATGGTCTTGCTGAATCCTTAATTAAGCAATTACAATTAATTGCTAGACCATTATTGATGAAATCCAGATTACCATCATCTGCATGGGGATATGCTATAATGCATGCTGCAAATTTAATTCAGCTTAGGCCAACGGCATATCATAAATTTTCCCCATTACGATTAATATCCGGTAAAGAACCAAATATATCACACCTAAAAATATTTGGTTGTTCTGTGTATGTACCTATTGCTCCACCTTATCGTACTATAATGGGTCCTCAAAGAAGGCTGGGAATTTATGTTGGTTTTAAATCACCCTCCATTATTAATTATTTAGAACCTATGACCGGTGACTTATTCACCGCGCGGTTCGATGACTGTCATTTTGATGAGACAGTATTCCCGGCCTTAGGGGGAGATATTAAAGAAATGGACCCTCGTACGAAAGATATTACATGGAATGCAACAAATTTATCTTTTCTTGATTCTCGCACAAATGCTTGTGAACAAGAAATTCAAAAGATTATTCATTTACAAAATGTTGCAAACCAATTGCCTGATGCTTTCACAGACTCAAAGAAAGTGACAAAGTCACATATTCCAACTTTGAATGCTCCTTCTCGAATAGAAATTCTTGCGGAGATTAGCGAAAGAACTCTTGCTAATGAATCTATGATACGTAAAAAAAACGTGATAGACCACTTGGTTCAAGAGATTTGAAACCAAGAAAATTTAAACAGCAAGTTGTAGTTTGTGATGCCAAAGAAGTTCAACCTTCTCAAGAAGAAAATGAACATTTTGAAAATATCGGCTTTGAAGATAACATCAATAAAAATGAAACCTCAAAAGAGGATCCAATCACCTTCGAAGAGGTAAATATTCCAGATAAAGATAGAAACGTCGATAATTTCGAAATTTCAATTAATTACGTTTCTAATGGAATACAATGGAATAGAAATGATATTGATGTTAATGATATACTTTCATATGCCATCGCCACAAATATAATGAATGAACACGATGACAATGAGCCTAAATCTATTGACGAATGTCGTCGTAGAAATGTTTTTGGACCAATTGTCCATACGCCAAAAGGCGTAAAACCTGTCGGTTTTAAATGGGTTTTGTGCGTAAACGCAACGAGAAAAATGAAATCGTTAGATACAAAGCCCGACTTGTTGCCCAAGGTTTTTCTCAAATGCCAGGAATCGATTATGACGAGACGTATTCTCCAGTAGTTGATGCTACAACTTTAAGGTTTTTAATCGGCATGTCTGTTTTTGAAAGGCTGCAAATGCGCCTAATGGATGTAGTGACCGCATATTTATATGGTTCACTCGATACAGACATATATATATATATATATATATATATATATATATATATATATATATATATATATATATATATATATATATATATATATATATATGAAAATTCCCGGTGACTTTAAAATACCTGATGCTTATAGCTCGAGATCTCGAGATTTGTTTTCCATAAAATTGCAAAAGTCATTATATGGATTAAAACAATCTGGACGCATGTGGTATAACCGTCTCAGTGAATATTTGATTAAAGAAGGATATAAAAATGATCCTATTAGTCCATGTGTTTTCATTCAGCGATCCGAATCAGGATTTGCCATAATTGCAGTATATGTTGATTATTTAATCATTATTGAAACTCCCATTGAAATTGAAAATACTGCAAAATATCTCATGAAAGAATTTGAAATGAAAGGTATTGGGAGGACAAAATTTTGTCTCATCATTCAAATTGAACATTTGAGAAATGGTATTTTTATTCACCAATCAAAATATACCAAGAAACTTTTGAAGCGGTTTTACATGAATAAACCACACCCGCTCAATTTTTCAACAATGTTTCGATCTCTCAATATGAATGATGATTTTTCGACCTTGTGAATGTGATGAATAAATCATTGGTCGTGAAATAATATATTTGAATGCTAGATATTTTAAGCATTAATGTATTTGGCTAATATAATACTTGACTAGATATTTCTAGCTTTTTCCATAAATTTGTTAGCCAGATATAGCGCAGGTCAAAGGACGTTACATCAAAGGGGATAGAACAAAGCACAAAGCACTGAAACTTTTCTCCACACATGATCTTAAGAAACATGGAACGGTTGATGTCAAACAAATCAAGTCCTGCGACAATCCTGCTGATTTATTCACAAAGTCATCGGCGCCGAAGAAATTTGAAGAACTTGTACACAAAATTGGAATTAGCCATCTTCGATATATATGTTTAATTGAGGGGGAGTAATATAATGCACTGCACTCTTTTTCCCTTCGTCAGGATTTTTTTTTCCATTGGGTTTTTTCCTGACAAGGTTTTTAACGAGACAGTACATTATAATACTATGAATCTAATACCACAGAATAATTAGAAGATGACCATTCAAGGGGGAGTGTTGAAATATAATTGAATTAGTCATCTTCCAACTATTCCTGATTAAAAATTATTATCACCATTATATAAATAATCAGGAAATCATAATTATGATTCTAGATGATAATTGTGTGGTTCACAATTATCCTCTAATCCTATGAAGCTTAACTTTTCTCCTATACATAGGAGGCTTCTCCATTGTAATTAACACACTAAGATTACACTATTATCACACTTCTAATAACATCTTTCTCACTAAGTATTCAGACTATACTTTCTCTCCCTGATCTTCTGCTTATTTCCTTCCATATTATAACATGTTTATCTTTTAGTTTCAAATGTGGTAAGCTAATTCTTGAAATCATGGGCTTCTGTCCTTGTTTTTAGTGTAGTATTATTATGAAGTACATTAACGTGTTCACCGCGTTTGTGTGATAAGTGGTCTAGATCTTCTCAAGTTTTAAGATAAATTATTCCTCGTCATTTATCAAACTAACGTGCTCCGTAACGAGTATGTTGACGTGCTTCATATAATTACTCACCATATTAGTATTACCTCCATTCCAAAAAAATGTTTCTCATATGTTGACTTTTCTTGGTTAATAACAAATTTTGAACAATTATTGTCATTAACAAATTTTGAATAATTAAATATAATTATTTGTCATATATTGTACTACCTTCATCCCGAGAAAAGTTGTCATATTAACTTTTCTAGTCATTTTGATATAATTTTGACATTCAAAATAATTTTGTAAGGAGTATTAAAAATCGAAGTTGATTGTCAGTGGCACCCTACCCTGCAGTAAAGCCACATTCATTTTTTTTGATAATACAGGTGTCGGTACTTGCGCTCCCCTAATCCTAGAGTCTATTGACTACCCTCCAAAACCTTCTAGACAAGTAAATCCGGATATGATCACAGTCAGTCTCGTCGGTACTGGTACTACAGGACGAATCCAACAGGATTTCCTTTCAACTGAATGCAGAAGGGTTTTATTGGTCATTCAACTGAATCCAGAAGGGTCCTCTCACCACGCGAACCCGAGCCTGAATTTCAAACCCCTCCCTTCTTAGCCGCTGGAGCAACTCCGTGAAGGTAGGAAGAATCATTGGGAGCAAGACCCCCTCCTCTCCCCTAATGTGACTAGCGGGTATCGAACCCAAGACCTTAACTAGACACGGTAACCTTCCCGTGGACTGGAAAGCTCGGTTAGAGAGAAAGCATTCATCGCACATAAACAGCAACTATATAGTAATAATAATTCGAAATTAATTAGGCCGCTCAGCATATAATATATGCTGCTGACCAGCTTAAATATTACATTACGATCGAGTAGTAATAATTATTACATAAGTAAGTAATTAACATACTCGCGCGGTAACATTAGTAGCAAGATGCAGCACATTTCTTGGTGCAGTCGAAGGAGCAGCCGCCGCCGCCGCCTCCGCCGCCGTAACCCTTTCCCGCTCCGCTGTACGACTTGAAACAGCTGGCAGGACACGCGAGCTTCTTCCCTTTGCACGGCCCCTTTTTGTTGCAGACCACCGTCGGCCGTATCACACCGCCTTTGGCGCTCCCGCCGCCCGGGCCCCCGAATCCGGATCCGTAGCCTCCGCCGAGACCAGGAATCCCGAACCCAGATCCGGGCCCGAAGAACGCTCCGAGACCTCCGCCGCCGTCGCCGGAAGGGGTTTGATCGGTGGGGCGCTTCTTGTCCGGGGCGTATCGGGTGGCAGAGGTGTGGACGAGGAAGAGAGCAAGGAGGATGAGTGCTGCTTTGGAGCTCATCATCTTCTTCATTTCAAAAAAACTAAATGATTTTTCTTTTGTCTGTTTGGATTACAAATCTATTCAGAGGGGAGCGCATTTGCTCAGAGGGTATTAATTAATTGAAAATCGTAATCGCCCAAACATGGATTATATATAGGCTTGTTTCTAAAATGTTACCAAAATACTCCATAAAGTGATCAAACTTATGGATTCAATTGTGACTAAAGTGATTGTGAATATTCCATAGTTTTATTATTTTTGTGACATAAACATTGTACTCCGTATATTTTTATACCCAATAAAAGTTATTATTTTACAAATTTGTCAATATTTCATGTTTTTGTCGAGTGCATTATTCATAGGGTTCATAATGACATGTTTCATGGCCACAATAACATCTATTAGTCACATTTTTCTACTCTATGTAATTAAAAGTATTCTATCTTTCAAAATGAGCTTTAACCTTCTATGGAAAAACAATACAAATATTACAAAAATGTTTTCTTACATGGAAATAGGACACAAAATTACTTCTAAAATTTAGAAATACAAAAATTAACAATTTTTCCCCAAAAGTATGACTAACTTTTTGTTTAACCAATCTATCTATTTCTCCTCTTACTTTATATCAATCTATATCCAAATCTCGCATTTGCCCAACCCACGACGAAAACCATTGCAGGAAAAGTTATCGGAAATTTTCCATGATTTTTCATTTTTTTTTTGAAAAATTGCCAAATAAAATTATCGCAAAATCTTTGACAATAACATTTTTTTTTTCAAATTTGTTATCCTAATTACCTTTTTGAAAAGTGAGCTTCAATTTAATGCAACCATTTAAAGATCCCTTCTTATATGTAGGCCGGGGAGCATTTACTCTCTTGTTAATACAAGAAAAACATTTTTACAACTAGTAATGTTTGTAGATGGATTGTAACTTTGTTTATCTATCTGAATTGTATAAATTTAATCTTAAGTAGTCTGATATGGTATGCAGATGTTTTTTACAACTAGTAATGTTTGATCTGTTGTGTTCTGATCTGATCTTGAAGTGAAACATATACGTATTTTTAGGCATTACTATCACATACTCCCTCCATCATACCCTTTCTTTTTCATTTGTAACGAAAAACTACATCCAATTCTAAATCTTCACATCATACCCTCAATAATTTTGAAAAGAATCCATTATTACAATTACATTTTTTGGATTTATCCATTATTCTCATCATATTCTCAATAATTTATGTTCCCTCACTAATCTCAATCTACCTGTTTTTTTTTATGGGGGATCTGGCTTATTATCAGTCCATTATACTATCCTCTGTCCCATAATTCTTGCAACAGTTTGACTTTCACGTTTGTCAATGCACAATTTTGACTGTATTTATAAATTATGTATTAGTAAACATTATAAAAAGTTGATATTTTGGAAATTCACATTGATAAGAGTTCAATAACATTTTATACGTAATAATTTGATTATGTATATTAGTAGAAAATCATGGTCAAAGTAAGATATATGAATAGTGTAAAAATCACAATGTTGCAAGAATTATAGAACGGAGGAAGTAGATAGTATTTGCGTAAGAGAAAAATAAAGTGGATAAGTTATGTAACATTATCTGCTAGATGTCTCATGTATGTTCTCCCACCTCACTCCCTCTTACCGGGCCCCACCACGGTCATCAATTGTAGACTTTTGGTGTGGAAAACTGGAAATTAGAATACAATAAATGTGAACATAAAGTACTACCTGTAAGATCTCAAATGTATTTTATATGTACTTGTTAGTTGTTACTCGACTTCAAGAACATTTAGAGTCTAATAATGCAAATGTAAGTGTTACTTGCGTATAGACTGCACCATTTCTGATCTTATTTTTCTATGAAACTACATAGGACCGCCTAATAGAGTTTTGAGACCTCTTTAAATTACAAATTGGGAGCCCATCTTATAAACAATAATCTCTCAAAGAAAAGGTTAGTATGGTAATTAAGTTACATCAGTCAATATATACAATTATGTTTTACGGCTCTTAACCTTTACACAATCAGAGTATATTTATAATTTTGGGGTCATATAAAAGTGAGCCATGTTTTAAGCATCTAGTCGGACATATTTTGGTAATCTCTATTTTCACCTTATTCGTCAACTTTTTCACCAAACATCTAAGGTTGTTTTCTTTTGGACTGAAATTTGCTGGTCTGGTCTGGTCTGGTAAACATCTGATCTCTGTGTATTTTATAACTACGGAAGTCAAGTCTGGTCTGGTCTGATCTGGTTTGGTTTAGGACTGAAAACGGTCCAAAAGAAAACATTCTAACTTTTGATTTCATGCGCTGATTGTGTAATATTTAAAATAAGTAAAATTGGAGTTACTTTTCAGGTTGAATTTAATGAAATGATTGTAGAAAATCATTTTAAATAGTTTTCGTTTTATCCTTTGTTTCATTTATAAAATATAGTTTTAAATACTCGGTATAATTTTTCTATAACTCAATCATTTTAGGTAGAGTTTCACCAATTCCAACATGTTCAATCTATTAAGTTAATATAGTATTACCAAACAAATTTTAAATTTATGTCATTCTGTGGTCAAATGTTTGAAAACCTACTTTCGAATTGAGAAAGTATATACGAAATGGAGGGCGTAATATTTATTTGAAAATACTTATGTGTAGCGTATATATGGATTGGATGTCTCACATAAGGGGTGTTTGGATCTGATTTTAAAACTGCTTCTACTCCTTCAGGGAGCAGAAACAGAAATTGGAGTCTTTGGATAAAAACCCAGAAGTGATTCTGGTGCTCTAATTTACTCCTAGAATCAGTTTTTTAGAAGATGGGGGGATAAACTTCTAAAAACTGATTCTGTTTTTGCTTAAAAAAAGTAGTTTAAAAAAGAAGTAGAATCAGAATCAGTTCCAAATACCGATAGTTTAGTTTAGGAGAGTGTGAAAAGGGAAAGAGAGGAGTCAAAGCATTCAAGAGTGGTGGGTGGCAGTTGTTTGGTTGGAAAGAATTATTACTCAGCTACACTACATTAATATCCACAATAACATTTCCACATGGGATATAACCTGTTGACTTTTTTCAAAAAGAACGAACTCATATCCCTCACTGGCTGTATATTCATCATATATGGAAAAAACAGTCGGTACACATCTGTGTAAATAAACAATTCATCATAAAATGGTAAAAAAAATTAAAAAAAAAAAACTAAATGGCTCGTACATGAAGCACGACTCAATAAACTGAAAGTTATGTGTTGGGACAGTTGGGTCCAATATACCGCTTATTTTATATCACCTTTGCCGTACTCAAATTTTTAGTATACAAAAAATACATATCAAAATTTTGACATTTTGTATTTGGTATATCAAAATTTCAATATGGTACAAGAATGATATCGGTAAAAATTTATGTCACACTAAATTCTTAATACACTTTCTACGACCCATAAAGGTTGGTCCAAGTAAAATTGCACGTGAAAAAATAAAATAAAAATATTCACTTGAAATTCGTGTATAGGACAGAGAAATAATAATAAATATTAAACACAAGTTATTTTAAGAAATGACAAAGTTTTTCATGGCTATATTAGGATATTTGGGCAAATTTTATGGGACAAATGAACCTAACAGATTATTATATACCAAGTGGAATGCACAAAACCATTAATATACCATTAATATAAATTTATGGTATAAATTTATGAAACACATAATAAACTATTGATGTCCTCCTATTCAGTTTTAAATAAGAATTATTATAGCTATGTTTCAATGTATCACATACTAAAAACGACATAATCTCCTGAAAATAACTTAAGTGACATTAATATAAATAAAATAATACTCCGGACTACGTAGTAGTCTTCAATGAAAAAAGTAAATGATTGAAACAACATTGAAAATAAAATGTAAAGCTATTTATCCTTTTTGAATCTCTAGTCATTTATATAATATTAAAGAAATCATTTTATTAGACCTTCGGTATAGCGGTATATCAATATATTGGTTACTTTCAAAATACAAACTTATACAATACCGAAAATGTTGATATACCAAAGTTGAGAATTATCGGTCATTAGTTTTCAAAACCACAACACATTGGGCATTCGGAAATCGGAATCAGCCCAGCGCTCCTAAGAAGCTGTTCTCTTCGCCTGATCTGAATGTTTCTGATCTGAATTTTTTAAGTTCTGATCTGATCTGATCTGAATTTTTCTGATCTGATCTGATCTGATCTGAATCTTTCTGATCTGATCTGATCTGATCTGAATCTTTCTGATCTGATCTGATCTGATCTGAATCTTTCTGATCTGATCTGAATCTTTCTGATCTGGTCTGATCTGATCTGAATGTTTCTGATCTGATCTGAATCTTTCTGATCTGATCTGATTTGAATATTTCTATAATTATAATTATAATTATAATTATAATTATAATTATAATTATAATTATAATTATAATTATAATTATAATTATAATTATAATTATAATTATAATTATAATTATAATTATAATTATAATTATAATTATAATTATAATTATAATTATAATTATAATTATAATTATTATAATTGCAATTACAAATATAATTTAAATAAAATTATAATTATAATCGTAACTATAAAAATAATAATAATAATAATAATAATTAAAAGTAAATTTAAAATGAAAAAATTTATACTTATTACACTAATTATAAATATAGATATAATTATAATTGTAATTATATTTTTAATTATAATTACTTATATAATTATAATTGTAATTATAATTACAATATTTATCTCTATAATTGTAACTATAGTTATCAATATTATTATAATTACTCCGTAAAATAATTACAATAGTAATAATAATAATATTAATAATTATAATCATAAATTATAATTATAAGTATAATTATAATTATTATAATTATAATTAATAATAATTATAATTATATTAACATTAATTATAATATTATAATATAATAATAGTAATATTAATACAATTAATATTATAATAATGATATTATTATATTCATATTATTATTACAATAATATAATAATAATATGATTATTATTATTACAATAATATAATAATAATATGATTATTATTATAATTAGTATTATATTATTATAATATTATATTATAATGATAATGATAATGATAATGATAATGATAATGATAATGATAATGATAATGATAATGATAATGATAATGATAATGATAATGATAATGATAATGATAATGATAATGATAATGATAATGATAATGATAATGATAATGATAATGATAATGATAATGATAATGATAATGATAATGATAATGATAATGATAATGATAATGATAATGATAATGATAATGATAATGATAATGATAATGATAATGATAATGATAATAATAATAATAATAATAATAATAATAATAATAATAATAATCATGTTTGAACTTTTCTGATCTGATCTGATCTGATCTGAATGTTTCTGATCTGATCTGAATGTTTCTGATCTGGTCTGATCTGATCTGAATCTTTCTGATCTGATCTGAATCTTTCTGATCTGATCTGATCTGATCTGAATCTTTCTGATCTGATCTGATCTGATCTGAATTTTTCTGATCTGATCTGATCTGATCTGAATTTTTCTGATCTGATCTGATCTGATCTGAATAAAATAAGAATAAGCAATAAGTAATAAGAATAAGACGAACAGAACAGCACCTAAGTGCATTGCAACAAAGTCAATCTTATAACCCAAAACACCATAATATCAACATTTCCACTTATACCTTAAGCCTTTAAGGGTACATTACATGTTAACTATTTGAAATAACCCCGCTTATTAATGGCTCTTTCTAATCCAATATCATGATGTCATCACACTTTAATGATGCTAAATTGCTAACCTTGCACCCCATTTCACTTCAACAGTTCAACTTTTGAAAAGGGTAGTGATTGTAAGTTCTAACTCTTGATTTCATGTCCAAATTAGGGATGGACTGAGACAGATCGGCTCGACCCGAGCATGGTACTATTTAGGTCCGGCCCGGGCCGGCCCATTACTGTATAGACCCGGCTCGGGGCCCATACTAGTGGCTATAAGGGGTGGGCTTTGGGCTCAACTTTTTGGGGCCGGCCCTGGCTTCACTAATTTTTAATTGAATGCCCGGCCCGACCCGATACTGTTTCAACTCGACCCGACCCGGTCCCGCTTTACCCCAGCCGGTACCAAGCCTGAATTCCTTGATCCCGAAGCCACCTAGTCCCGTCCTGAAGTACGGTCCAATGGGTCCATCCCTAGTCTAAATAGCATTCAGGCATTCCTTAGATTCATCTCCTAACATGTTATAGAGTTTATAATCCATCTTGAAGTTCCTGAAGATCTTAAGTGAGCTCAATACTACCGAGTACCAACCCAAGAGGGAACGGAAAAGGGAGTATTTATTATACAAGAGGACTTTGAATCGCAACTTTAATTATATGATTATTATATAATCCGTATTACTCCCTCCGTCCCTAAATAAACTTCCAACTTTCCTTTTTCGTCTGTCCCAATTAAAACTTCTACTTTCCCTTTTTAATAAAGAATTTGTGGTTCACAACATTTCTTACATGTTTCTCTCTTCTCTGCACAACTCTCCACCACACAATACCCACTATCTGACTATCTTAAACTGTGTGCAAAACCTATTTGGAAGTTTTATTAGGGACGGAGGTAGTATTAATAAAGAATCTAAGCACTCAACTGCCACGATTGGGTGCACAAAAAATGATTTATTTATGTATTTTATGCGTCAGTTCTCATGGGTTACTTGGAATAAATCTAGCAAGCCATAGAACCTAACAACCACCGAAGTAATAATTCTAAAACCCCAACAGCGTCAAGTATCCAGATTCCAGACAAGTAACCCCCACCCCACGAGCAAAGCATTTCCAGAGCAGCGGAAAGACACACATACTCATACTGTTTGGATTATAGATATACATGTTTGAACTCCTAAGCAGATGGGTCTTCAAGTGTGGCTGTGGAAACATCCTTAATGCGAGGATAAGCAACTTTCTCATCAAGTTGGTTTTGTGCACATACTAGCAGCTTCAGCAAGCTTGGAAGCTTGGGATCTGACAGTTTTTTATAAACATAAGAAGTTTAGTTGATAAACAACGAAAATTACACTTGATTCTTAAATCCAGTAGAAAGAAAAACATAACAACAGAAGATAACAAGGGATAAAGTTTTCCAAGTTCTTTTATAGAACAGTTCTTTTCCATCCCCTTTTAAACAACACTCCAATAAGGAGTAATATCTTCAGTTCTATTGTCCAATAATTTTCATACTCCTGCTCACTTTACTTGGTCCAGTTTTTTTATGCAAGTTTACTAATACTTGCTCCAGTTTTCTCCTTTGCCGATTGTGAATGCATTATAAGACACAGGCATTCTTATTTTTTCATCTTCTCCTACCAATTTTTACTCCCTTCCATCTCCCCCATGTTAGGAACCTGGTAATTGTTCAGTCAACCCCACTTCTTACTATTTATACAGTCTACTACACCTACAATTTACTCTTGATATCCGTGAAAAAATCTGCAGCAGTAAGTGTGAACAGATGGAGTAATTCATAATTGTTTTATCTGTTTTGCTGGAAATACAAGATCATTGTTATTAGGGATAAGGGTCAGATAGGGTCTCGAACTTGAAAAAAATGTCAAATAAGGCCATATTTAGGATGTTCTGTCCGGCCGACGCCATTTGGGGCGGTTCCCGATGGAATTTTTTGATGAAATTTTTCGAGAAACTTATTCATTAAGTCTAGTTTACTCATATCAAATTTGAACTAAAACTTCAATCGGGAAGGCATTCAAATGAATTCTTGAAGATAACTGTGCAGTTAAAAGCGCAATTATCTTCAAGAATTCATTTGAATGCCTTCCCGATTGAATTGGTAGTTCAAATTTGATATGAGTAAACTAGACTTAATGAATAAGATTCTAAAAAAAATTCATAAAAAAATTCCACCGGGAATCGCCCCAAATGGCGTTAGCCGGACATAGCAGCCTAAATATGGCCTTATTTGACATTTTTTTCGAAGTTCGAGGCCCTATCTGACCCTTATCCCTTGTTATTAATACGGAGTACTTTTACGTGCACATTAACTTAAAGCTTTTATTACATTATTCTCAAAAAATATAATTTGCTACATAGATATAATTAAAGTAGGAAAACATAATACTTCCACCGTCCTTTTTAAATCGCTACACTTTGACTTTACACTATTTACATATCAACTATAACCATATTTTTAGTTCTTTACTACTAACTTCGTCCCATATTCCATCATTTGCAATGGAGCCAAATATTCATTGTTTTTTGGCTTGAGAATATGATGGAATAAAGCAAAATGGCTCACTAAACTGTTTGCGCTTCTTTGTTATGCAATTTTAGGCGCGGTTTTCACTATGGATCATCCGGAAACCGTCTCTTTGTGCTTTAGTACAGGGGTAAGACTGCGTACATCTGACCCCATCTTACCCCACCGTAGGTGAGAGCCTTTGCGGCACTGGGGTAAATGAAAATGATGACTACTAACTCCTCCTACTCAACTATGCCAAATTGATGTTGGGTGTGAAATTAGAACAGTAAAAACTGTGTGGTTGAGGTATGTGCAGAGGAGAGAGAAATGAACAAAACCACAAATTCATTGTTTTAAAAGGAAAGCGGTAAAGTTTTTTGGGACAAACAAAAAAGGAAAGTTGACAAAGTCTGGTGGGACGGAGGGAGTAATAAATAAAAACAAATCATATTATGTAAAATGTTACTAAGTTTGTCTCGATGAGCACTTTCAATATATCAACTTTTCCTAACTTTCTAATACATAATGAATTAAATTGATAATTAATTAATTAGTCTTACATTAGCAAACAAAATGTCAAACCATTGCAACTACAGAACATAGGTTAGTATAACTAAGATTTGTAATTTGTATAGGTAGATTAAAGGAAGAACATATTGGTGAAAAAGTTGATGTAATGGATCAGAGAAGTGTTTCATCAGTTTACTGGAGCAACATTAAATTTGTTGTTTTGGATTGGAAATGCCATGAAGAACATCGTGTCATTTGTATGTTATTTTGTTGTTTCTTGAATTCTTGATTCTTACAGTTAGTTCAATAAGGACCTGTGAGAGTTCTATCACTAGGCTGCTAACTAAGTTTTAACGGGTCTGGCTAGGCTGCTAGGTCTTTTACATATCTTAAATTCTTAATGCATTTGTTTTGCATTCCAAGAAAAAAAACGACTTTTTTTATTCCTTAAACAGCACGATATGGGCACTTGTTAGCTTTTTCCTTCTATTAATTAATTCTGAGTTTTTATTTTGTTCAATCATCTAATTCAATTGCTTCTAAAGATTTTACCATGTTATATTGAGCTCCTCCTGCAAATAAATTCAACATTGTTACAAGCTCAAGTATCAACTAATGGACCACTTTCTTGTCTACAATATTTGGCAATTGGGCAAAAGTTCACATGCTCAAGAGTCAAATGTTGGATCTGTCTATAGACTGCCAAATAATAGTTAAATTAAGTAAAATACTGTTAAGAAAACCTGCAATTCTAGTCTTAACAGATCACAGAATTGAATCAAGAATCTCAAAGGCAACTTTATTCAGTAAAGGCAACAATGGCCGAAGGCCCCCAAATCCTTACAAATCAATAACCGCCTTTACATCTCCCAGCTCCTTCTATTTATACTAATCTAATAGACTCATTATTATTCTTGTTCTAATAGGCCCAATTCCTAACAGTTTATTAGGTCCACTTCCTAATACAGGTAGATCCCTATCAATACTCCCTCCCTAAACATCCACCTTGCCCTCAAGGTGGGCGGTAGGAGCTAGCCAAGATCTTCTGCTCCTTCTTCTTCCTTGCGCTTCTACCTTCCCAATATCTCACTGGTTTCCGAGCTAAGAGCTTCAGTATTAGATCTTCACAACTCTGAGATGTTTCTGCAGCATAGAATGTTTCTGGTGAAGTATCTTTCTCTTCCTTAGTCTTCAGGCCTTCAATAGCCACAATTATTTTCATTCTTTCCTGAGGTATATCCCTTACAACAGCAGCAGAATGTATATTCATGTCCTGAACATCAAAATTCTCATCCTTTTTAACCTGCTCAACTGCATTTGACTTTTCTCCTTTTGAGTTAGGCTTGACATCAAATTTCTGTGGTTCTATCATGCTTTTCAGTAAAACAATGTCATCCACTGCTGTAATTTGAGTACACCCAACCTCATGCCACCCCACAACTTCCATAGAAATTCCCCACCAAAAGCTCTCTGCTACTGCATATTTCCCAAAAGTAGAGTCCATTTTCAAAATGGTACAATCTTTGCTACTATGCAGCAACACATAAACCAAGCAACACTTTGAGGCTGGTAATACAAAGTCAGCTCCTTCACCAAGTACATCATTGGAGCCTAAGATCATTTTGTAAGGTTGAAACCTAGCTTCAGTTTTCAACCCCTTAACATTAGTCTGAGTAGTAGGATCCAGGGCCATACTGATTTTATCCAGCTGATATTCAAAAATAAACTCATCAGCCCATTTCAGTCCATAATTAGAGGAGTCCCAATTTGCATGAAGTATCAAACTGCCCCCCTTAACTGCTATCCTAGGTTTGACATATGAGAGAGTGAAGAATGAACCTTCACTTGCACTAATCTGTGGGTCATTCTTCCCCAACTGTTTTGATAAGGCACCCTGGAATGACACATCACCTTCACCCCTAATTTCTTGCTTCTGTCTGTCAGCATCAATAACAGACTTCTCCATCATTCTTCTATAAGTAATTTTGTGAACCATGTTACACCTTTTCCATTGCTCACCTCTTTTCCAGAAAATCTTGCTCTCTGTTCCAGCAATTGCCATATGAGACGGTATGTCACAACCTACACCTCCATCTAGCACAATAAAACCCACTGTTGACAGCCCCCAAACTTTTTTACTGCATCTGTGAAGACACCCGGAATGAGATCCTGGAAATTCTTGATGGGCTCGTACTTGAGAAAATGAGTAATTGCTCCAGCTTCATGTCCAAGATTAACTAAAGATTTCTCATAGCGTTCCTCTTCGCTTTAGGTGTATGAATCTTCCGTGGACGATTGCTGCTGATTAACCAACTCCTGCTGCGATTCTGTGAACTCAGTTAGAGAGTTTGAACTGGGGTTTTCAGTTAGAGTCGAAGCCAGAGGACCAGAAGAATTTGGCAACTGCAATGAACCTTGGCTTTTCGAATTTATACAGCGACGTACCTTCCTCGATCGTCCTCGCCGGTGACGTTGTGGCCGCAGCTTGGTGCGCACTTCATCCAACTCAGTCCTCATCTCCTTGCTCTTCGCACGCTTCTCCTTCTCCATGTTTGAGCGCTTTTCCTTTTCTAGGGTTGAGTGCTTCTCTTTCTCCACTTTTCGGCTCTCAACCTTTTCTGCGAGCTTCCCCAATTTTCCGCGCCAATCCTTTCGCGAGTGCGAAACAGTTCGCGACTCCTCCAATCTGGTCCTTCTTTCCTTCGCCCCATCCCTTTCTACCTTTTCTTTTCTCTTCGTATGCTTCTCCTTCGCTATTTTTAGGCGCTCCACCTTTTCCGCGGTCTTCTCCATTTTTCCGCGCGAAGCCTTTTGTGAGTGCGAACCAGACGAAACAATTCGCGCTCGGTCTCTAGTTCGCCTGTGAGGTTGGTGACCGGTCTTGTTTATGACTTTATTCTACTCCACATCTCCGCAGCCCAATCATCGAAGGATTATTGATTTTGTTCGATCTTTTCCTGATTCTTCTCCATCTGCGACAGACTTCTTTTAGCGACAGAGTTTCCACACCAGCGATCCTAACTCTCTGATACCAATGTTAAGAAAACCTGCAATTCTAGTCTTAACAGATCACAGAATTGAATCAAGAATCTCAAAGGCAACTTTATTCAGTAAAGGCAACAATGGCCGAAGGCCCCCAAATCCTTACAAATCAATAACCGCCTTTACATCTCCCAGCTCCTTCTATTTATACTAATCTAATAGACTCATTATTATTCTTGTTCTAATAGGCCCAATTCCTAACAGTTTATTAGGCCCACTTCCTAATATAGGTAGATCCCTATCAAATACTAACCTTTTTCATGGCTTTGGCTGGTGAGAATTGCAGCATTCACCTCACTTGCTGTCCTCATACGTTGTGATATATCTAAAAGATCTCCCAAAGGGCAGTTTGCAACATCTTCAAATGCCAGCAATGTGACTGTCCTCTCCAGCTCCTCCAAAAACCCTTGCTGCCAAAAAAACATTATTTTTTGTTAGTCAGGTTTGATAAGAAATAAAATACCAAGTTTGCCCATTTGTAAATCCAAAAGATTATATAACGAATCCAGTATATTAGAGTGTAAGGAATAGAGTCTGCTTTCAGAATGATGATTTCAACGGATTCTTTTACTCAAAGATTGTCATTTTTGTAATACAAAAATCATAATAGTCTAAACTTATTACATTTTCTTCTCCCCTTGGAGCAAGTTCCTCCTGAGCAAAATCTAAAGCCTCCTCCACCTTCCCATTCCTTATCATCTCAATGAACCTTTGTTTCTGGAGATGAAAAAAAAGCTGGGGATTTGTATCCAGTATCTGCATCAGACCATGTAAAAATACTCTATAAGCAAATGCCACTAATTCTATAGGAATTTCACAGTAGTACAGGAAGGGGATCAGTTGCATTTCTCTCACACACAAAGTGATACAGTGGTACAAAATTTGCATATCATAATACTCAAATTCAAAATACTGACATAAAAGAAACAGATACCACAAATATAACTGCTGCAAAAAATGATAAACTAAGTTGAACTTAACAACGCGCAACACCAAAGCATCAATTCCATTGAACATCACTATCAGATAATTTCAGTCATTGTTGATGATTAAAAGAAAAAGCATGACATAATGCAGTGCTTTACTGAAAGTAAACTTAAAGCTGCAGTATCATGAAAACAATGTATAGAGGGGCAGGCCGGTGCACACTGACGTCCCCACAAGGCGAGGGTCCGTGGAAGGGTCACACCAAGAGGTGTATAGGGGGCAAGCCTTCCCGTGTCATTTTGACAAGAGGCTGCTCCCATGACTTGAACCTGTGACCTCTCAGTTACACACTAACACTGGAACTGGTGCACCAAAGCTTCCCTTCTATCATGCAAACAATCTTTAATTCCAAACGTTCATGTTGCACGAAATTGTTTAGGATGACACAGTTCTACTGGGGAAAAGTTAAACCAAATTACCTCAGCAACAGAAAATAGTAATGTAATTGAGGTAATGTGATATAACCTCATTACCTCAGCTTGGTTCAGGTAATCAGATTCCATATCAGATATTTCACTTACATCAGTAATGTAACATCACAATCATGTTCAGTTTTTGTATGAACAAAGAGGAAAATATTTATTAACTCAATTATCTTAGGTATTATAATATTGCCTCAGTGACCTTTAAGACATCATCATCATCATTAAACCAGTGCCGCAAAGTCTCCCACCTATGGTGGGGTAAGGGGGGGTCGGATGTACGCAACCTTACCTCTGTACTAAAGCACAGAGAGACTGTTTCCGGATGACCCAAGGTGAAAATTGCGTCGGAAATTGCATGGACTGACTACTGCTTCATAACAAAGAAGCGCAGAAAGTTTATTGAGCTATTTTGCTTTATTCCATCATATTCTCAAGCCAAAGAATAGTGAATCTTTGGCTCCATAGCAAATGATGGAAAACTCAGTGACCTTTAAGACAATTTCAAGTTTATCCTTGGACAATTTGACAACAAATATGATATCACATTCTGTGAACCAAACATCTTAAAGAAAATTTGGTCAGAGTTGTAGGTGGGTTTGGCAGTTGTAATCCCAAATGAACATAATCCCTTATTTATCTGTCATGTGCGAATGAGAGAAAAATGAGGGACAAAGTTGGGAAATAGAGAAGCTATATTCCCAGTAAAATAATACATGAGAGAAAGGGGGCAGGTAAATGAGGAAGGAAAGTGGGGGATAGAATGAGCAAAATATCATTAATTAAGAGAAGATTATTAGTAAGGGTAGTTTAGTAAATTTATTACTATGTAATTATTATTAATCCCCACCAAACAAGACTAATTTAGTGATTCTTTATCCACAACTACCATTCTGTGTCCTGCCCTCTAATCCCTTATTCCCACTTACCAAACGTCCCATTAAGTTATCTCATACTCCCGTAGTATTGCACTCACTCACAAACGGTAAACCAATCACAAAAGATAATCTCACAATCCACGAACCAACAACTCCCTAAGGACATTCATCTAAGCCTCTCAGCCTGAGAGTCTCAGGTACTATGAGATGTGCACTTCTAAATTATAATTCATGGTGTTAACAGAACGAGGCCGATCGGACCAAAGGGTTGGCCCGAGTCAACCAGGATGATGAAGGAGGGCCATGGAATTGAGCACGCGAAGAAAGTACGCTTAGGAGCATGAATAGATTATAACTTATGGGGCAAAGCATACAGGAATGTGGGGATTACACAAGGTTAGACAACTACACTCAAGCTAAAGACTTCAGACTATCTAGTGTTTCTCTCTTTAAAATGTTAGAAATGTTAAGATGCCAATCGAAGTTCTATCGGACGAGGGGATAGGGCCAACTCCAGCTGAATTACCAGAGATTCGAGATAGTATTCCCTGCCAACTATAATATTGGAAAATGTATTTGGAACTTGGAAGTGTTGTACATAATGCGGATTTAGACATTAACTACCTCCAGATGTTCAGTTCAATAGGATGTGTAAGGATGAACGTTAGCTCACTTTCAATACATCTCAATATCTCATTGCTAATTACTGCCAATAAATTAAAAGACACCAGGTGTTATTATTCATTTACACCAAGGTATTAATAGTACTTGCTTATTTCTACTCAATTTTAGTAGCAAAATTTCCTCGGGTACGTTCTTTTTAAGTGACTATATGCAGTGATGATGTAGTTAACTAACTATCTGGGCATCTGACCAAGTGACCATTGTCCATTTAGCTATTTAAAGGTACACGTCTTGACTCTTGAGAAAAATTAAAGAGAGGATGACAGTTTGCAAAAAAAAAAATGACATAACTTTCAGCTCAGCCCAGATTATTAGTTACTAAGAAAAACAAGACTTTTTTCTCTCATCTAACCTAAAAGGCCATATAGTCCTGCTGAAATTTGGCTAAGAACCCCTAGACAGCTAAACTGAATAGATTCTAGAGAAGTTGGGTGCCAGTTGAGCCCCTGTTAGTTCTAGGTGCCTTACACAACTTTTGCAAGTTGCAACTCAATCAAACATGCACCTCCAAGTCCCTGGCAAGAAAAAAGACAGCAAGAAGTAGAGAGAGAGAGACGTACCTCAGGGTTTAAATCATTAACCTTTTCGATTGCATCCTCAACATTACCACACTGTACTGCTTTCTTAACTGCCATCCGATCGGTAATGGTGGCAAGATCTATGTCAGCTAATTATTCACATAAGGAAAGAACAAATTCTTAAATGTACACACGAGCCATATAATTTTGTAAAGATGTACAAGGATACGTTCTGTTCCTGATTCCAGCCTGAACTTCTCTGCAGCTTCCACAAAACCTTCGGTGACTAGGAAGTTCATCACTAGTTTATTCATGTCCTCTTTTCTAATCCTAACATTATTCAACTTTTTCTCCCACTCTTCTCTTGTGATTATTTTCTTCGACATTTCCTAGAATAGGTAATCAATATATAATGTGTCAGTTCAAACATGAATTCACTGACTTAGCATCAATGTTTGTTTATAAATAAAAGACTATAATCAGTTAATTTCGCATAAAATTTGCACTATCTATGGAAACGATGTGGCATTAGTGTAGGTTTGAACTTTGTCTACGAAAACCATGTTGCATTAATATTCCAACATCCCAAAACGAAAGTATTAAATAAAATTAAAATATAGTATAAGCACAAGGCTAAACACACCCGGTCTGGTACCCATTACATTCTCCTTGGAAGATAATAGGTCTCGCTAACCACAGCCCTTAGGGCTATGTTAAATATTAACCATTGCAGAATATTTTAGAGAATTTAAAATATAAAAAAAAAAAAAAAAAAAAAAAAAAAAAAAAAAAAAAAAACTTACTAAATTATACAGTATGAAATAAAGGATAGGTCAATTGGCTTTACTCATCCCAAAAACCAAATAACTCATTAAATGAGCTCCTGATCATTAATAAATTAACTGCTTCGGGAAAATCATCAAGTATATTATTCCACAATTAACTGTTAACTGTAGCCTAGTTATTAAATGTATGAAACTGGCTATTTCAGGAAGTTCTGCCTTTCTTTCACACCTTGATTTCACTCTACTGAACAGTGTTGAATAAATAGTTAGCTGTCCTGTGGCGCAGGAGGAGAGTAGTAATACAACCTCCGTGGATAATATCTTCCCAGCACTCTATACCACAAATACACCCACACGGCTACAAGTCCCCCCCCCCCCCCCAACTAGGGTTTTGAAATACCTAACGAAACTGCAAGACAATTCAGTGCATATTACCAAATAAAGTGAAATCTTATGATTGATAGGGTCTTGCTTCCTTCAAACACAACTAGTGTCCAACGAAATCAGTGTTTTCGATGTTGTGAGGCAAACCGAGAGGGAAGAGGAGACTTCTTTGGGGAGATAGATCGGACAGATGAGAGGGAATGGGATACTTTGAGAGATGACGAAGGTTTTGGAATGAGGGAGTTTGAGTTGTAAGAATGGTCGAAGAGCAAGAACAAATAAACGTGAATAAGAGCCCACACAGGGAATCAGGATGTGATGTGACATGAGAAACAAAAAAAATTAAAAGGTCAAATAAACCTTCGAATTATTACAATTTCTCAAAAATTCAAAATAGAAGTAAATGTAGTTTAGAATTTCAAAATATGATCACTATGTTTTTATTTCCGAAATAGGACTAACATGGTAGTATTTATTGTCATTTTGTAGGCGTGACTGTCAAATAATTGCAGCACAGTGCATTTAACATGACAGTATTTATTATAATTAATGACACTTTTTTTCAATCATGACAGTACTTTCCATATATGACAGTAATAACTCTTATTTCGTGAAGAACATCACGGTAATCCTATTGGTATTTCAAACCTCATTTACTCCTATTCAGGACAATTTACCTTATTGCAATATTACCCATTCTGAAATCTGACCTCTAAACTCGAAAATAAAATGAATACTCCGTATGTCTTTCAAAACATTAAAATAAAATAATTGAATCCTTTTTATTTTAGAAATAATGGACAAGAATAATCTCAACTATAAGTAATCTGCTTGAAATAATCCAAAGTATTAATTATCTCAAAATAATTTCAACTATTAAAAAATATTCTTAAAATACTCCGGTGACTTATAATTATCCGTAAATAACTTATACTGAGTAATATTTATGAGTATGTGGAGTATTTTGAGAAAAAATTTCAATAGTTGGGATTATTTTGATATAATTGATATTTGATATTTTGAATTATTTCAAGCAAATCGCTCAAATTGAGATTATTCTTGTCCATTTCCTTTATTTTATCATGCGGATAAGATAATAATTTTCTCATAAGATAATATCAACGCCACTTTATAAATGAGGAAAAAAATCAATTATTTTAACCATTACAACTTATATTTTTTATACACTAGCATCTTTATTGTATATTTTCTTAAAAGAATTAATACTTTTATTTGGTTTCTTATAAGAAAAATTATTTATTATTGAAGAAATATAAATCCACATGGTTTTTTAGTTTTATTTATTCTTTTATAGATTTTAAAAAAAAAGTGTTATTATTAAAACTAATTTAACATTATAGAACAAAAAAAATTATATTGTGCATATAAGTAAATAGTATAAACATGAAAAGAAATTGTTTGAGTTACTTTTAAAATAGGCATTAGAATTATATTGATTCAATATTAGTTAGTAATGGACTCGGGTTGGGCCACCCTGCCTGGAACCGGTACTGTTTGGGCCCGGCCCGGAACCTGGTCATAGGACCGATTTGGGCCATCCGGCCCGGAACCGGTACTGTTTGGGCCCGGCCCGGAACCCGGTCATAGGACCGGTCCGGGCCACCCGAACCGGGATTAAAAGGGGGCGGGCTCGGGCCTCCTAAAAGTGGAACCGGCCGGGCCGGGCCTATTTCTTTTTTTTTTCAATTCTTTTGGTTTCTTCCGGGTTGGGCTAGGTGTTTTGGGGGGTGGGGGTTAATTAGAAAAGCAAAAGAAAAAAAATTACATGAACCGGGCCGGCCCGGAACCGCTGCCTACCCGGGCAGGTTCCGGTTCTCCCTTCCCAAAAAAAAGCCCGGCTGGACCCAGGCCCGAACCGGCCCGGGTCCATCACTAATATTAGTACATATTTTAGAATATTGTTAATCACTGGTGCATCGCACGGGTTTGAAAAGTGGTCACAAGAGAGTTAATATTACATATGAAATTATACTCTCCATTAATAATTATTTCAAGATTTTTTTTTTCTTAAGACAAACTTGAATATACCATATTTTCATTGAAGCGGCTAGCCATGAATTGGATACTACATATTTTAGAGAATGCATTATACTCCATCCCCATTCAAATGTTAGAAACATGTGCAAATTACCCACATAGTCTACTTTTGGGTGCAAAATATCATTTATGGCTCAACTGATCTTTCTTTTCATTTTTAACTTTACTGTTTTCAGTATTACTTTTTTATTTCACTTTTAAACCAGAATTCTCCCACCCCTCCTATCTGTTTCCTGTTTCCGTTTCCTTCCCCTATTGGCTAAAACCTAACCCCTAAATCCATTTAGATTGAAGTAGACTCTGGAGATCGACTTTGGGCGCTGGTAATTCAAGCTCACACTTGCCGATCGATTTCAATCCGAAGATGAAGGAGTATCGATCTCCCGGGCTCCGAGACTGAAATTAAAAAAATCGAGAAACAAGGTATGTAGATTTATTGTTCACGTGCAAATGATTTGGGCTCGATTCTTGAATTTTGACGTTTGAATCTGAAATCTGAGGGAGGTTTGTGTTTCTACACTGCTGGATGCACCTTCCAAACTTGCACTGGTCGGTGGGGACGTCTATAGGCCTGAAACCGTCTTCTCCGATTTCGTGGTTACTGTTCACTGTTGATTTAAGTTTGAGATTGTTCATCAACTTTAAATGCTTTAAATCAAACAGGGGAGACTTCTACGGCAAGAGCTACTCAATCGTCTTCCAAGTTTGATGTTTTGGATAGTACTGTTGACGATTTCCCTACTTTGAACTTTGGGAACCGAAGCTGCCAGAGAGTAAGGTTGTTGCTGTGATACCAACTGTTATCACAGCCGCTGGAAAATTCGTCAAGACTGACTGCCCATGTTTCTGCTGGGAAATAGGATTTGGAATTTGGGAAGCTGCTAGAAAAAATATCTGCTGTTATGGTTTTAGCAAGGCCAAATAATTCACTAGCTACGGTTGGGAAAATAATAGGGAACCGATGCATGTTTAACTGCTGAGAAAGAAGCTAGTGCTACTGCTGATAGACGCAAGGTGAATTCTCCTCACCTTAGATGGTTAGTGCTATTTTATTTCCTTGATTGAATTGTAATGGTTTTTAACTGAATAGTTCTATATCAATCCCAACCCATTGTCTTCCTCCTTTGATGAAATTCCTTGGATTTGCTTAGTTATCAGCTTAGTATCGTTGTTCAATTTTTTGTTAGTTTTGTCCGGTTATTGTTGTAGTTTGAATCCCCCTTATAAATGACTTATAATCGGTGATACACAAGTATGTAATCATGTTATTCTAGACATCATTTGTAATTACTACAAGAGTATTTCATTTGTAGGTGCTAGATACTCAAAGATGATAGAACCACAATGGAGTGGCAGATCACTGCAACTCTGCAGATAGGGGAATTACAGGTGAAGAGGTAGCTTTAAAACAAACTCATGTATGTTTGAAGTTCACATAATTTTCTGTTAAAATCTCAAACCTAACCTTAGCTTCAGCCAATATGTTTTTTTTTTCATTCTGTGAAACTGATTTCATTGCAAATCATTGATCTGGCTGTGGTACTTTCATTATTAGGTGGTTGAAGAGCTCAGGCAAAGTATATACAGTGACTCAGTGAGAGACCTGCCTCACTTGCAGCGGGGATAGTGTAGCTCCAAATGTGGCTCATTAGCTTTCTTTGTGGTAGGGCAGCTATTACAAATATTATTATAAACAATTAGTATACTATAATTGCTTATTTTAAATTATATTCCTACTGCAGACGCATAAAAGGATAAGAAGCACATGAAGGTGATAGTAGGACAAGAGGATCAATAGAAAAAAGAAGACCAGAGAGCCAAGTTTGAGAAACTATGTGCTAAGTATGAAAAAGAAGAGATGATAAAAAGCAAAGCCAAATAACATATTTGATAAATGTAATAAATTGAATTATGTATTTATTGTGATAGTCTTATATGTTATTTTTTGTTGCTTTTTGTTGTACGGTATGTGTTTCTTTTTGTTGCCTTGTGTTTTATGTTGTTGAATTGTGTTGCTTATTGTTGTTTATAGTTGAATTTGATTTTACTTATTTATTTAGGTTTTTACTTATATTTGCTACTTCTTTGGAATAGAAAAATAATTTAGAGATGTCCAATCACCTAAATGATAAATTGTGACTTATGAATATCAACAACAAAAACATGAATAAACAATAAAAAAAAATTATTCAAAATCTGCAACAAGAATAAACATAAAGAAACACAAAGCAACAACATGCAACAACAAATAAACAATAAAATGAAAAAGGAATTAAACTTTCTAACTCCTTACAAAATTTAAAAAAATCATACTTTGTAATATTTTCAAGTTTCTTACGTTTTTATTACTTTAAAACGTTTATATTTTTCATGCCTTTTAGTTTAATTAAATTTTCTGATTTTATATATTTATAAGGAATTCTTTATTTACGTTTTATTTTATAAAATTTGAATTGATTTTTTGACCTTTTAAGTTTATATGTTTATAGTTTTATGTGCTTTTTACATATAGTATGTTGACGCTTTTTTATTAGTTTTGTTTACTTTTACCTGATTTAATTTTAAAATATAGATTTTTTTCTTTATTGTTAAAATTTAATTACATTTTTCTAATTTTGAGGTTTTTTATTCTTCAATTTGAGTTTTATTATTTGTTAGTCTTTTATTCCGGAGTACTTTTTCTAATTAGTTTCACCATTTCTATTTTTCATTATTCTTTTTAAGGATTTGTTTTGCAGTTTTGGTTTAAAAGTCAAAATTAAAAATTAGTAGTGCCGTAGTGGTGATTTATTACTAATTTATCTATGAAGCATTAGTGGGATGGATGACTTCCGGTATGGGAAGTTGGGAACCCAGCTATGTTTAAAAAGGCGGGAGATCGAACGTACGCGTGTACCGGCCGTACTACAGTTCATTTATGAAAACAACAGTTTAACCAGTCTAATTTTGAAAGAAAAATTAAAAAGTGAAAAACGTGATATTTTTTTAACGTTTATGTCTTCTTGCGAAAATTTCCCTAGAAACATTAGCCTTTTGGACAAAGCTTAAAATTTTCTCATAGTTCTGTATTTTTAAATGAAAAAAATCTCAAAAATTGAAAGTGTCGTGTACATTTAAATATAGATCAAAGAAGAAAGTGCATTGTACTTTGTCTCATTGGACATACGGGTTATTTGAGTGGAAACTAAACAAGAAAAAGAATTTCAGATCAGAACTAGTACAAATTCGATCTGCCTTTAGTTCCTCC